GAAAACCATTAAAGACAAAAGTGTTCATAATGAAGTGGTATGGTCCGGCCAACTCGTGTGTCCTTGATTTTTCCTTGTAATTAAACGGCCGTTTAACATGACGAGCGTGTATGTACAGCGAACCGACGGTCGCGGGAATCACCTCCTCTTCTCGCCGCGTTGCTTTCGCCTCTTGTCTGCTCACCCGCTGCCTGGCCGCCTGTGTTGCTTCTGCTGCTCGCGGCAAAACTGTATTATAGCCTTCCCTGTCGTACGACATCCTCCTTCGCCGACCTTCGTACCTTCGACGTTACCTCGCGATAAATACTCGCGCCGCTCTTTTTACGCGTTACTGCCTAATTAGCGTAATTATAAGATCCGGTCGTGGACCCTCTGCCCTCTCTTATTCTTCCTTTCTCGCTCTTTCCCCTCTTCCTCGTCTCCCTTCCTGTTTTTCTTGAGATGGCCCGGGGGAGATATTGAACGTTTCCGAAAGACCATTTCCAAGAATTTAGTGGATGAGAATAAAATTTTAAGGAAAGACAATTTGACATATGCTACCATCTTAACCCGCCTACTGCGTGATTTGAAACAGCTATTTTAGTTTTATTATAATTTTTTCCGTTAACTTCATTTTAGAACAAATTATGCATTTAATTTAGTAATAAAGAGAAATTAATCCTTTAAAATGGCCAGGCTATTCTGCACTTCTGTGATTTTGTATTTTTAATGTTTATGTAATATACATGTCAATACTTTCTGGTCGTGACAGCAATGACATTTTCACATCGGCTTTAGTTATCGGACAGTATTTTTATTCACGCGCACTTCCGCTTACATGTTTGGTGTTAAGTGATGCGATAATAATGACCTTGTTCTGATACAGTTTGTAACACTTTTGCAACGGCAGAAAGTTCAATATTGGTATCGATGGCCAAATACCATTCCATGAAAGCGATTACCAAAAGTACAAGTGTGTATTTATTGATAAGCAATATAGTGATATTATTAGATGTTTGCCGATGACTACTGCAGCGATAGTATTGTAGAATACAGATATCGTAAAATGCATCACAAACATCGCGAACGCGTTCGACCATATCAAGATCGCTATCGCTATTAGTTTGACGTTTGAAGGACAAAGTTACACCCATGTTGGAGTGTCGTTTGATAGTGAGAAATTAAGATATCGTGATTTAGTGGACCTGGAAAACTTGGAAAAGTAACGTTTATTTAAGATTACTGTACAATATAATTGTAGAATATGGAACAATACGGAAGTAACATAACTTAAACAAAAAGATCAGGACCATTCCTCAGATATTTACGTTTCTTGACATAAGCTAATTTATTCGAAAATATAGACATATATATTTTTAATCATCTAAATAGTGTTTAAATTACCTTTAATTACATGTAAAATTTCATAGAACGATAATATCGACATCTGATTCATTGTTCCTTCCCGATCGGTTGTAGGGCAACAGTATTCCCATTTCCATTTCTAACAAAATCGCTGATTCCGTAACGGTAAATAGAATATACGTACATTGAAATTGCTGGATAACTGTACATTTGCCCTGCGTCAACGTCTCTGTCCCGCTGTTTCTAATCACTTAGTATATTTCGTAAACATTACTCATCATGATAATCAGTGGTCACTTAGAAGCGTCTCTTCTAGCATGATCAACCTCTCGACCATTAATTATAATTTCCAAAACGTATGTATAAAATTGTCAAAGAATAAAATACAAATCGTTGCGTAAAGTCTTCGGCACGATTCGCGAAAAAAAACATTCCACTTTGCAATCTATTGAACTTTAAAAATACGTTTAAAGACCTCTAGACATAAAGGTTATACACATTTTGTTTAACTTGCGGCAATCTTCTTAATAGTCGTGCAACATTCTTGGCTCGCCGCGATACACGCGCTATCCGCCCGTAATATTACATAATAAAGTAAACCCAACGGGCCTAGGCGGAAGGCTTGTCGGATGGTTTCGGTTGTATGGGATCCATGCAAAAGTCCCCGCGTGTGTTGGGTCCGCGAAGACCGATCGTCCACCACCAGACGGATATGAAGACTTAAAACTGAAAACAGTTTATTATTAATAGATATACGCCTCGGTGTCCCAAGTGCGTCCTGTGTCGGCTTTATTTCGAGGTTAGTCTGTACTGAGTTTTTGAACCGCACGTTTTATTCTCTTTGCTGCGTGGCCCTCCCTCCCTCCCTTTCCCCGGTCCCCGGACCCAACCATTCCTTCCTCAGCCCCTGCTGAGCGGTTGTCGTTTTCCTTTTGCCTCCTCCCCTCTCTACTCCTTCTCTTAAAAACGAGACTCGCCACCGACTTTCCGACAAAGGAATAAAGAAAAGAAACAACTAGCCACGCTACGCGGTTGAGGATGGCACGGCAAACCGTAGCACAGCGCAGCACAGCACGGCATAGCGTGGCATGGTGGGTAGAGACTTTCCGTACAGGGAGAGCAAGGGGGTACTTGCCGAGCCAGTGGCGTACATACCTGGGGGTATACCATATCTGACCGTGTATGTATTTCCTTCCCATTGCGTTTGTACACGTTGAAAAAATTGTCGTTATGCAGTCGGTTCCGTTTACGTTCACTTATTTTTACCAATGACTGTTTTTGATTGGAAAGTGACAAATTTGGATCCTTGACCCAGAAAACTAAAATTTGTTTGAATGTCTAAAATATTACACCTGGCCTGGAATCGATTAATTTTTCATTGAACGAGAATTTGTTATGTGTATCGCCGTAATACGATTGTACCATGTGAATAGGAAATTGAGAGAAAATTATGTTTCGTTGAGAAAATATTGCACATACATATTATTGAAAAATTGAACATTTTCCTAGATTTATAGGCTATAACTAGATCACCGTTGCATCCGATGCATGCTCGACTAAATAGTTTTCGCTAAAGTTCATTCATTGCATTGTCAAAGGCGACGCCTATGTTTCTTCTGAAACACCGCTAGGAGATAATAGCGTGCGGGTACAGTCTCCAAAAAGAGTATTTCTCATTTATTTCACTAAACCATCACACTTGCGTACTTTAACCTTGAATAACTGAAAGGAAAAAACAAATAGTGGAGCGTTTAGGAAGTAATGAATCCCTTCTTTAAAATTCTGGAATCGCCGGAGTCGTATTAAGCGGGTACGCAAAAGCATCGTACTTTAACTACATATAACAGCATCGAACGTCGTAGATTGTAGTAGTTGCAGTTAAAATAATTATTTTATTACCGTTAAATTCGACAAAACTATAATTAAAATTGCAATTTGTTTTCTCTGTGTGAGGCTATTTAAAGTCTTTAACTTCATCAATGTCGGAACACTATTTCCAAAAGTGTTTTCATAAACATAAAAACCATTGGTGGGAACTGTTATTATTGTAATAAGAAAGGAAGTTGAATGCAGGTCAAGTAAAAATTCTAAAGATCATTCAATGTCATTACTCCGTGTTTTTAGTTCGTCGCAATGGAGGGCACAGTAGCACGGACGGTGCGTCATTCCGACGAATTACGGGATTCCGACGACGATTTTGCTAGGGGGGAGAGGGATTTCGGCGTGCTGCGATCCTTTCAGAAGAGGCATCGTTTTTCCGAATCCTTAAAAACCGACTTTCTCTGGAAGGGAATCGGGGCAACGTCCCCGCGTGCGCGGGGACCTCTCGCAAAAATCCGACGACGGTTTGTTTGCGGGCCGCTCGCGCGCGCGCGCGCGATAATCGAAATCCTTAGGAGGCCGCCGATTCCTTCTTGCACATGCCATTCGAAGTCGCCAGCGCCGACATTTAGTGTCGTCGTAGACCACGTTGAACCATCATCGGCTTCCTTCAAAACCCCACCAGCCGTGCGAAGCTATCCTTCTTCGGCGCTCTCATAGACCTTCGCTGGACAAAAAGGAAGGAGAGAAGAGTAGGAGAAAAGGAAAGTATACGCGTGGTTGGTGCGGCAGAACGGGCGCGAATGCAAAAGGGAGAAGGACGGGAAAGGGACAGAGCGAAATGGTGCGCCGCGAGGGGGAAGGGAGTTTGTAGAAAAAGGAGGAAAGCGATGGGCAGAAGGAACGGAGATGAAACCAGGGAGCGGATGGGATAGAATCAGAGGGAAGGAAGGAGGCAGAATTATAGGGAGCAGAAGGAGGATAGGGTGAAAGAAGAGAGAAAGAGAGGGAAACATAGAAGAAAACGGATCTCAAAGATGAACAGAGAGAGGCTGACGAAGAAGTGGCAAAGGAGAGAGAGAGGCGAAAGAGAGACGGACAGGAAAGAGCGTGAATCGGAGGTTTCGAGCCGCGCCTCCTACCTTCAGGGCCCCTGTATCCACGACTCGGCACTGTGACGACGCAACGCCCTGGTGGAGGGGGAAAGGGAATTACGGGGAACGTGGTTTAGGCAAGGAACGATCGTCCGTAGTCCGTAGTCGTAGACGGGCCACGAGTCGAGCGATGTCGTGTAATCGACCGTTCGCGACTGCCGCGTTTCGTATTCGTACGCTTTTACCTGGATTATATCCGATCGAGTGTTTGTGCCGCGGTCACAGCTGTGCGTGTTACTAAATTTGGTGACAGGGGGGCGAGCATGCGAGGACGCACGTTTCGTCCCTTCCTTGAAACGACGATAAACGGAAGATAGAAAGTAAGGCGACGACCGATTGGCGCAGACTGGTCGCTCCCAGGCAAAACGTTGTTGTTGCTGCTGTTGCTGCTGCCTTAGAACACGTGTTTATTCGTCTCTGAACGTGTCCTGCCTGGTACACGTACAGTACCGTGTCACACTCGATGCCGAACGAGGATCACCGGGAGAGCATGAAGTTCACGGGAGTGTGTTTGTTGTTTTCGATTTTATAGCAGTGTTACGGTGAACCGTGAACATCACACGGAAATATAATAGATAACGACGTACAAGACGTATGGTCGGAGTCAGGTGAACCGTGGATTTTCTACGGAGGACAGAACGGAATACTGTTAGCGTTCCCCACCGTTCCTGTCGCGGCAGGATGCATGAGGGTCTCATGGCTACCGGATTGGTAAAGTGGTGGCGGGCAAGGTTCCTCGCTGGCTACAGACCCTTTTCTGGTAAGCTTCTTAATGCCTCTGACTCTTTCTCTTTTTCTCCTTCTCCTTCCCCCTTTCCTCGACTCCTCCCTTTTTTCTTCCTTTATATGTACATGTATATTTTTTTTTTGTCATACACACAAACGCGGCATCGATGTCGCGTCGAAATCACGGTGCACGATAGATCGAGTTATTCCGTATACGGATTGTGCGGTCAATCCGGTTATAGGCGTGATATTTTGCCGAAGCTACGAACCGCGCCGTGCCGCCGCGTTCTTCGGTGATGCTGCTGCTGCAGCATGACAGAAGTGGATCCCACGTGGTGTTACGTCACACTTGCATTTTTCTTACTGGTCGATCGATCGACTCCCAAATATCATTGTTTTTATCGTGTAAAAATGTAAACAATGACTAGAATGTCACTCACCTTCGTTTCAGTTATCAGATGCTGTTTATATTTTAATACTTTGACATTTTTAACGCCTTTAACCGCTGTTAACGTACGACTGTGTTTATAACTAGGGGTCAATGACAGGATGATCCTACATGACTTTAACAATTAAACTTGGTAGATGATAAAAGCATTTTATTTTATTTTTTAATCACAAGTAATTTTGATATAAATATTTTGAAATAGATTTTATTTATTTCTATGTTCTTTACATGGATAGCTTCAGATTTTTATTATTGGCTACTACTTTTAGGCTAAAGTGCTTCCTGGAATTTCCCGTCACGAAAGAGTTGAATACACGATCTGACATTACCGTCTAGTCTCTAGTAAACCGGTCGTAGGTGAAATTGAACATTTCTTTTTTAACTTTGTAAACATAGGGGTATACCATATACAAGTTATTACGAAAAATGTAATTCTTTTGATTGAAAGGAGAAACTTTTTAGAGATAGATAAGTATTTATTCGGTCGATAATTGTTTAGTAAAATAAGAAGTTTTTAGAAAGACTATTTTTCAATCGTCGAAAGACGAATCGGAGCGTCGCTGACGTGTAATTTTTAACGCGTCTGGACCTATTTCGAAGGAGAAAACATGGTGCTGCGTCAAAGACTAAGAGGAGGAGTAAAAATAAAACGCACTTCTAGTCAGCTGTGATCCAGTATTTCAAAAATTTTAATTCAGTTCATTTTTAGAGTCTAGTCCACTGTGTTCTGGGTTGTGCAACGTTCACAAAAATTTTAGGGAACGAAATATATTTGTAAAAATACACTTTTCAAAACAGAGTCAATTAGAATGAGTATCGGAAGGACTAATTTCATGCAGTATAAAATAACAATATATATCTCTCTGAAATAGGATATAAAACAGTATATTTTGCATAGTATTACTACAATATTATTTCATACATGGAAAAGGTGTAATAATAACACTACATTATGTGACAAGTTATCTCCTCTATCACGAAATTCTATTAAAGTCCCCCGAAATTCTCTAAATTATTCCACTTTGCACGCTGACACGTATTCGTCTGTAAGCATTAATAGTCCGACAATAACATTTCTTAACGACGAGTAGCATCGAACGACCTCCGAGAAACAGTTACAAAAAATTTATAAAATAACCAAAAAGTATGACGTATCTTCTAAATATAAACGGACGAAGAATGAAAAAAAAAAATGAACCGTAGTGGGGGCCGCCTTTCAGTCAAAACATTCCGCCGCCACCGCCGCCAACAACATTACCCGTCGAATTATTCAGCGATCCTCGCCGTCTAGCGTGGATACCCGCTTAAATCCCGGCCGATCTCTGGCTCTTACGCTTTTCACGGGTGCTTTCTCATGCGTCCTCTCCCCCAGTCGGCCGGGGCAAATTTTCATACCCGGGGAAAGCTGTTGCGCCGCGGCAAATGATAAAAGTTACGAGCGAGCAAACAGAAAGGGGGGTGATTTACAAAGGAGAGAGCGCCGTTTGTCCCGCTCCCCCCTTTCCCTTTTCATTCAAAGGGCGCAAAAGCGGCACCGGTGTGTACACACGATATACACGTTATATACAGGGTGATTCATAAATGCATGCCAATACTTCAGGAGGTAAAAGTCTACAGAGAAACTGATATAATGTGAACATATGTCCTATATACAAATGGGACTTCCCGTAAATAAATTTACATTACTATTATTAATATTATTATTATTATTGTTATGACAAAAGATATTATGGATAACGTTACAAAATTCATGAAACTATGATATTCTATTCTAAATATACCGTAGCTTTCGAGTTCTGGATGATTAAAGAAAACGTTCGAAGTGCCCACCTCGTGCCTTAACATACACTACTGCACGCCCATTGAGTTGCACACTCGCTCGAAAATACCAGGTATTATTCGAATAGTCTCAAATCCATTTGATGTCCTTTCTTGCAGATCGTCTGCACATTATTCACTTGCGCCGAATGTACAATAGTTTTTAAATGGTCCCAAAAGTATAAAGCCGGGAATCCTTCAGAAAACTAAGCTATAAGCTATGCTATGCTGTATGTATACGCATACATGTGTATGTATGCTGTGGCAGTGGTTCCGTATACATGCATTAAAAAAAATATTTTTAAACATAGCATAGTTTAGCTTGTCAGTAAATCCTCGGCTTAAGTCTAATTTTTTTACTTATATTGAATGTACATTTGCCTCTTGAAGTATTGACATGCATTTATGAATCACCCTGTATATATACACAAGAGAATACGGTGTTCTTTCTCTCTCTCCCCGTTGCATTCGTGGACAATTCGAGAGGGTGGAGAGTTTAATTATCGAGACCTTGCGAGTTCGTTACATACATTAGTCCGGTGGTTAGATAAAAGGCGGTCCGCTCTTGAACGTTGCCCTGTTCCTTCGGGTATCAAGCAAAGAAACGCGGCTGGCTCTCTCGCGTCCTCCACCCGTTTCCTCTCCTCTCCTTTGTTCTCTCTTTTTATTTCCTCTTTCGCCCACAGCACGCGTGCACGAGCGCGCGCGAATACATATACGGAACTGTACCGTTCGTAAGTGTGTTTATGGTTGCTGCAAAAGATCTCTGACCCTTTCGAAGACACATTAGATAAGAGCTTACTTTTATTAGAAACGGTTGGTACATATTCTACGGGACATCATATTTGCTAGTTGTACTTTATATTCTCTAAACAATATGTACGATCAGTTTCTTTAGGGGGTTACATACCTTTGAGCTGTTAATGAAAATTAAAAAATTTTTGTGTATCTGCAGGAATTATTGTTTACTTTTGGTCGGGGGTTTTTCGTTAATATCTAGTTAACAAAGCCTCTGATAATATTCTTGCTAAGGAAAAAGTTATTTAAAATCATTTCAGCAACCCCTCATTTCCGGAAGTCGAAGTTATTTTGGGACACCGTGTATAGAATAATTAACGTTTACACAACCAAAAATACAAATTTCAAGTTCTCATTCGACCATCCTTGTGCACAACTCGGTGGACTTCTGCTTTTAACGGTTGCCCTCGCCAAAGAATTACGGGCGTAATTATCACACGGCAGGTATCATTATACGCGGATGTGCGTCCGTTTCTTCATGCAGATACGATTATCCAGCTTTTTCTCTTCTTTTCATCCTACCCTCCCCTCTCCTTCACCTTCCTTTTTAACTCCTCCGCTCGGAATAATTGAAATTAGCGGCCGGCTTCGTTTATTACGCGTTCCTGTATCGCTAATTATCGTTACTCCGCGGTCCCTTTGATGCTGGCCTTTTTTTCAGCTACATATTTTACCGGAATCGTCGCGCGCGCGCGGGCTTTAATGATGTATCGCGGGAATTAAGATAAACCGAAGCGTTCCGATTCGAAGACCGCAGCCGCGGCAGAAGGCAGAAGAGCAGAGCGCTCGCCTCATGGAAACGGGAGTGCGGAAGGTCGCCGCGGGCGGTCGAAACGTTTGATGCGTTGGAAACGCCGTACTCTCGGGGTGGAACTCGTTTTATCGAATCGGAGGCCAACGTGTTCGGTTATGTTGGTCGAGGAATATGCACGTTTGATTGTTCGCGGTTATTCCGAGTGGACTGAAGAAATTGTAATAATGTCAGGTTGCTACAAAAGTTTTTACCCTTCGCGATAATACATTTTGGATGGATATTTAATTTTGTGAAAAGACATTGCATTCAGCACTATTGGCCCCTTTCGTTCCCTCTGTTGGGCTCTCTAAATTACGAAGTAAAATGTTAGTATCGTGTATTTTGTTGTATCTGTGAGTATAGACATATGTAACAGTTTCTTCTAGTTTTTTATATAGATGGCATGGCACAAATTTGAATGTGCATTGAAAAGTTTATTGGGAAAATAAGACATTATTGGTGCTTCGTCACTTTTATTTGGTGGAATTCAAGTGTTGAGCATTTGTTACAAATAGAATAGAAACTTACAAAACTCTAATTTCTTTCAAATACTTCAAGGGGGTTTATTGATCAAAGGTAAGAAAAGTTGGGTTTTATTATGTATAACAACATTATTGGTTTGTTTAAATGGTTCAGTGGTGAACAGGTCAATATATTTGCAGAATACAAAACATTGATCGCTAGCGAGAGTTCATAGACTGATGTCGTATATGGGCGTTGGTTCCGAGGGGTGGTTAATACATGAAGATTGAAGGAAACCGGAAGAGTGACTAACAGGGGGAGTGTCAGAGCCGTTCCATGCCGATTGCAATACAATTAGGGAACAGATAAGCACATACTCATGAAAAATAACAATTCGTTCACAGATACGTACCTATACGAAAAAGAATATAAAACTTATAAAAACAGTGTCCAAAATTAAAAAGAAAAAAATCACACGTATTTGACCAAAAACCTTATATGATTGAACTAAAAGCCGGCTACGACATATTCGTAACCGCGTTCACAATTTCTTTTTACTCAAGTTCAAGTCTCACTCCAACGAATCTCCCCTTTCATGGAGCATATGTAGAGGAATAATCACGGACAAATGCATTATTCTTTCCCCCCTGGCTGGGCACGAAACGAATTCGGATCCGTCCGATTTCATATAACAGGGCAGGGCACCTATTTCAGTTCCAGGAATTGACCCCACATCAATTATCAGATCGAGCTCAGCCGTGCGTGAACATAGAGTAAAAGGGGAGCGAGAGAATGTGGGCCGGGTGCATAAGCTAGACGGAGCGACAGGCACGGGGATTCGTCGGATGGCTACCACGGTACTTCAAAGCGTGCCGCGCGTCGCGCTGGCGTGTTAACCTCTAATCCGACATAAATAATTTACTTATTTTTCACCGTTCTCGGGAAATTTTTCTCACCGAATCAGTCCGAGGGTTCTGATAAACGTGGTAGGGTGATTGAGGAAAAAAGGGTGAAATAATTCAAGGGTGTATTGTACCCATTAAGGATAGCCAAACACTGTCCCGTCCAACATACACATATACACTGCCGTTCCACGAGTGTATTAAGGATGCATCGGAGGTACAATCTGATACAAAAGTGCATGAAATTTGAAATAGAGTGTGTCCCAATTACGGAGACTTTTAACCAGTTTACGAAATCACATATTTTAAAAAATACTGCTACATCTGAAAAATTTGATTTTTTTAAAATTAAATCTGTAATGTATTCAATTAAATGATAACAAATGTTGTAGTCTCATCCGGCCGAGTTCTGATTGGTCGGGGTTTTTCGTTAATGCTTCGTTAACAAAGCCTCGGATAACATATTTGCTAACGAAAAAGTTGTTTCAAATCATCCCAGGAACCTCTAATTTCTGGGAGTCGAAACTATTTTTTGACACCCTGTATATTACACACATTAATATATTACATAATTTAACTTGGCATATAGTTAACGCTGGTAGTTCTAGTGTTAAGGACACCTGGTGTGTACGAAAATATTATGGTATGTTTCGTAGTAATTACATATTTTGGGCCATTCTTATTCACAGAACTTCAATATCCCATAAATATTTATTTCATACCTACAGCACTTTACTTCATATTTGATAAGTGTCGAAATATTTGTAAATGGGATTGTAGGTCCGTAAATCAATCTTGATTTACTTCTTTCCTAGATACTTTTCATTTTTCTTTTCTTTTTTCCTGTTATACAAGGTATTCCACATTTTTCCATCCATTTGAATAACAAAGATTGGTCATGTTTGTAGAAAGGAATCCCAAACACGTTAAAACATTCCCGGTTTACGTCAAATTGTTTCACAGGTGTGTCCTGTAATCTGAATTGTAAATCGAATGCCAAAATGAAATGCAAATATACTCCTGCAGAATTAATTTCCTGTCCCATACTGATTGGACATTTTTTGCTTATTCCAATGAGTGCTATGCATCCAAAAATTCTTTCACCTTTTCTTCAGACCACTCTATATGCATCGTACTTGGAATATTTTAACTGCTTCTAGCAGTAGAATAAAGTGCCTTAAAGGGAATAATTCGATTGAAAGTTATCGGCGTTTTCTTGCTCGGTAAGACTTTCAAACGATCTCCAAGTGTTCTTCAAATGGTCTTGACTATGGAAAGCTATATTACAATACACTTTGTCTTACGCCTAAAAGCAACTGAAGGTATTGTGGGTGCCACAGATATACGACTGTTCTGTATAACAACGCTTAGAGACGTATGAAAAATAATATATGTACAAATGTACGTCTGACTTTGATGCACGGTTGAAAAGGGTTGAGAATTTTCAACGATTCACAGCGAACCGACGAAAGTGGGACACCTTTGTGCCCAGACCACGCCGGTGAAGGGTGAACGCTACGAAACATTTTGAGACATTTCATTTTATCGTGTCTCACGTGGGTGTTCTTTTGTGCGCGCACGGTTGCGTAAAGGCTCCTTTTCAAACGTTTCATTTCGTAGGAACGCTTTTACACACCGTCTCTCTAGGTAACGGTAAACCCGGTGTAATGCAGACACATTAAAGAATACATTACGCTTCCTCCGCGGCGCGTATGTACAATCCGTTTGAAATAAACGCTGGGAGATGCATATGTTCTCCCGTCCTTTTTCGGTGTGCACTTTCCGTTAATTCGTTCGGTCGCCGCGGCGTGAATAATTTCGGACAACTCGTAGACCGAATGCCATTAACGATAATTGCGCTTTTATCCGCGGATTCCAGGCAGTAATCATGAAACGGAACGTTTTGTCCGTGATTTATCCGTTTAAATGCGACTGCGTCCATCAGTTTCTGGGATGTCAATTGTTTGTTTTTTTTTTTTACTAAAAAAAGAAAAAATGCACGAGTCGAAAATTCGCTTCGTCAAGTACTCGATTTTAGTTTTAAGAATATCACTACAAAGTTTGATCCAAATTGGTACAGTACTTTTTAAAAATATTTTTGGTACCGTTTTTGATAACTGCATTTCGAGTAAAACGCTTTTAAATGGCAGCCGTTTTCTTCAGTTGATAGATATGTAGCTCAATTTTTCAGAAATTACTAAGGAAATAACATATAATAAAATGTATATGTTGAATATTTAATAAACAATAATTCTGCATATACAAACAAATTTTTTATTTTTCCCCCTTATTTAACAGCTCAAAGGTATGTAACCCCTTAAATTTTACTTGTGTATACGCATGCCTTCAAGTACATACTGTCGCGGGCACTTCATCGGCATTGTACCAAGAAGCAAGGGGGAGCTCACTACTACCGCCACGGATGGAGCCAGCAACTTGTGTCCCTTATCTCGTCGTAACCTTCGTGCGTCTAAAACAGTACTTGAATACACGCGTATCCCGGCCGATGTTCGAACTCAATTTCCTCGAAGGCGAAGGTCTCGGTGAAACAGTTTTATTCTACATCTTTTCTGTCGCTAAAGAAGGAAAGATTTAATAGACTTTTTTTTTTACCATCTTCACAGGCATTCCTCGATGTGACTGTTAAGATTTTTTTGGTCATACGGATGTTCTGTACCAATTTGACTCGATTGAATACGCATAAACAAGCTTGATAACAAACGATCGTAACAATCGAGAACATTCGAAAACGTTCGCGAACGATATGATATGCACGAGTCAGGCGTGTCTTCGCCTAAAAGAAGTTAACCAATTCAGGGACGAATTTATTAAGACCAGAAGATATATTTCTTTTTACTTTTCGGGTGTATTTAATTAAAATATGTTTATAAATATTAACAACAATCAGTTAGTAGAACACCTTGTTTTGTTGAGCAGTTTCCTATTCACTATTTAATTACAATTTTGGAATGATGCTTGAATGAAAGGAAAACTAAACGTACACACATACGATTCAGTATGAAGAACTTAACCTCCGAAGCATTCGTGAACGTTGGTTATTACGGTGGGTTCACCGATGAATATAAATTTACAAAATATAGGTATGTAAATGCAATAAAATCTGCAAGTTTATAAATATAATTAGTGGAGTAATGATTCGCAAGTTTATAAATATAATTAGTGGAGTAATGATTTGCAAGTTTGTAAATATAATTAGTAGAATAATAATTCGAATAATATACGTAGTTGTGTTCTTAATAACGGACCACGATCTTATAGAGTCAAAACCTAGATAATGTGGAAACTTTGTATCGCCCTATAGTGAACGATTCAGATTTTCCGTTGTTCCGTCAACAGGAATCAAGCTCCGATTTATGTCCAATTTGGTTATTAAGATGGAAATGGATTTGATACCAGCAATTCCTCGTGTTTGTTTCAGATCGTTGAAAGTAACAACCCCTTTAAAATAGTCCGAAAATACTTTCCGCTCTCCATGACTTAAGTACCGGGCAGCACTCAGAAACTGACTATAAATACAGCCTTTACCGAGGCAGATGTTACTTTGATACCTTTGAAATTCTGACTTTTGTTTACGAGGGCTGGTGACGCCCAACCCATAGGCACCCGGGATTTAATTCCCTTTGATGAGAAATTCAGGCTAGAAACGTTACTATTGGAAGACATTCCGAGCTCGGAATAAGTACTAAAACTGTAACGTCTATTTTTACTGTTATGTTTGTGCAAAGCCTCGGGGTTCTATTTTTTTTTTTTGTACTTTATGCGTTACGAGCGGAGCAAAAAGTGTTCTTCCTTAATTTGCATAAAGATAGAATTGAATTTTCTTCTTCAGTTTCGTAAGAAATAATTAGTTGCTTCTAACCGTATAGGATGTAAACATATAATGTTGACCATTTTTTACTATGAAAAGTTGCTTACTACGTTTGCAATAATTATTTATTAGTTTAAAGGTTATATTCTGTTTTAAGTATACAGGGTTATTTAAATAAGGATCAACTAATTTACGAACATATTGTAGATTTCTTAAAATAATTAGTAAATGTCCTGTCAACATGGGTATCTAAAAATATAACTATATTAAAATTGTTTTCATATGACAACACTAACCAGTTATGGGTTGAACGTCAAGCATCATTGAAACGCTGTGTACACATTCCACTTCGCTCACAGCCAGGTGTAAAAAATCATTCACTATGCAGCGTGTAAAGTTAAACGTGTAGTCAAGTTTTTCTGAAACTGAACGAGGTGTTGAAGTTTCTTTCTTTTTTTTTTGGAGATTGTTTATTACCAAGAGACACGTAAACTTGTTAAATTAGTTTTTTTTTTGCATTTTAGTCGTCAAGATCATATCGTAATTTTTTTTACTGATACGTTTACCAATACCAACGTTTGGAAACCATTTTCGAACGAATAGGCAGTAATTGAAAGTTTTGGGAATCGTGGTTTCCCACGACTATGGGAAATTGGTTTCTTTCCAATAGAAAACTATTATGGAAAAGATGTCACTGTACATTGTTGTAATTTAATTGAAAGGCGATCTTTCAATTATTGAAACTGACGGGGTATGAATTGTTTGGTTACAGTCGTTGGTAATACGGAAGGCAGCGACTCGGAAGAACTTCTTGGCGGTGTCACGGCACCCTGTAGCGGTTCACCACCGGAATCCAAGCCAATTCTGTTAGAAACAGAAGCGCCGCAGGTCGCGGTTGACGCTTCGACTAGCCCTACGCCGGCAACCGGAAATGACGAACAGCCGAGTGCCAGCACAACAAAGCAACTTAGTTTCGAGGTATATATCCATTGAATCCTGTGGAAATAAACTAGTCACTTATGTTTGCTAATAGATCATTAATTTACATAACGATTACAACATCAAACAGACCAAGTATTTAACGTTAACCCTCGTGTATCGTTCAAGTACCATAATAAATAATGTTAAACCTAAAACTCGAACCGCGGGTCTTTTGCTATCCGGGCCATTCACGATTCTTCTTTCAATTTGTATAACCGAAACAAAAATTTAAATTTCATTCTTGCCTCGTATGTACTGTTAAATAATAATAGAATGGTAGGGATAAATGAGTCCATAAAATAATTTGACATGTATCCAATGCACTATATCTACACTGCGTGGCATAACTATAAAACCATCCTAAAATGTTCAATCTTTATGTATCGTGGTTAAATTGAAAATAGGCCACTTTTTTCCAGAGAATATAGTCTTTTCTTTCCTGGAGAAACATTATTTCACAACACGGTTTTAGACATGGGCATTTCTTGGTTCGTTTTCATTTTAACTATAATACACGGGGTGTCTCAGCTAACTTGACCACCTCGAATAATGACTGGACGATACACTTAATGAAAATTTTGAAGCCTGGAACTTAAATGGCATCAAGGGGCACATCTTATAAGGTACGTGCTTTTTGTGTGGGTGGAGGCATTCCAGAGATTTCAAGGTCACCTTCATTTATTTAACAGAATGACCTGTTTTTTGTACCAGAGATCGATAGAGTATCAAATTTCAAGTAAAAATTAACGAGTCAATTTAACGAGATATTTATAAAATAATCACTGTATTGAAGTTCAGGGGCATCAGTTCAGATTTTGTAAATATCCCGTTAACTATTCGGTTTAGGCCGTATGAAGGTCAACAAATTTTTACTCAGAATTTGATATCGATCCGCGATACGAAAAATAGGTCATTCCGTTAAAAAACATCACGGTGACCTTGAAATTTCTGAAATGCCTCCACCCATAAGAAAAGCACAAAGCACTTCACGCCTCAAAATTTTCATAAAGTGTACCGTTCAGTCAGTATTCGAGGTGATCAAGTTAATTGAGAGACACCCTGTACAAGAATTGAAAAGTTTCGGGTGGTTCTACATTTATGCCACCGCAGTGTATGTTAGAAATGCGCGTAGAGACGTATGTCGCTTTTCACGTCCCCTATATGTTAAACTACATACAAGCACCGACACAATAAACGGAGTTCGTTACTTTTATCCTCTTATTTATCCCAGTTCACCCTCTCTCAGGAATTCGAATGCGACGTGTCGGTGGCGGAGGGCGACAGAAGACGCCAGGAATTCTCGTTCACTCTGTACGACTTCGACGGCCACGGGAAGATAACAAAGGACGACATTGCCGGCCTGGTGACCACCATTTACGATACCCTGGGCGCTTCCATCCAGGTACCGCCGTGCGGCAGCAAGACGATTAAGGTGAAGCTGACTGTGTCCCCGGATCAGAGAGCTGCCAGCCAACAGACACGGGCGACGACGACCGGCGGCTGTCCAAACGCTTCTCAGCCGGCTGCCGCTGCCAGCTTTTCCGGAAATTCGTCCTGCTGCCACTTGAAGCACGCGTCCTGCAACAATGCGGCGACCCACACAGCCGCCGTGCACGGTTTACGCAGAGTTCCTAGAAGGAGGAGAGCGCCACGACACCGTTGCCAGGTAAGATTGATGCTCCTTTCAGGCAAAGTTTCGAGTTTCGTTTTTATGGGTCTCTATCCCCTCCCTCCGTGCCATCCCCCCCCCCTCTCACTAGCACTCATTCTCGCTCTCGGTCCTGCCACGCTCGTAACTCGACAATTCTAGAAGCTACAGTTGGATTTATCGACTTTCAAGTCGGAAGATTTATCGTCCGAAGGGAAGAAACTTTATTCGATTTTAATTAATATCGGTTCGCCACGGGGATGCCTATTAGAATGTTCCGTTGCTAATTTGACCGGAGGGAACCCTCATTGGTCGTTTCTCAGGATCATCTATATTTGAAAAGCTTCTCTCTAGTCGCGCTAGTGCTTTGTTTGGAAATTGAATGTTCCGCGAATGATTTTGTTTAGTTCGTAGATTATTGAGATATATATTAGATTATGTCATTTGGTTTTCGTAGGAGTCTGTCTAAACGGACGAAACACCCCTTGTTTAATTTATTGATTATTCGATCAGTTACATGGTAGCGATCTATCGCGTTAAGTATTCTGTAGAATAATTGAATAGTTGATTGGTTGACGGTGCTGACCGGATAGAATTGTACGGTGTTTTTCTCCTGTTTTATTTAAGACTGCACAAAAGGACGTGGATACTCATAGCGAAGACGACGGCGAAAACGCGCGAACGAATCGAATAAAACAGGAGGAATTACGCCGAAGGGTGGGGCCCCTGCCTCATTTACCGTCACCCTATTCGAACAGCTCCGAGGGCGATATCAGCGATGACAGCGATGTTTCCCCTGCAGTTTCCCCCTTGACGCCTCTCCTCACGACTAATCAGCGAAAACGCAGCGGTGCTCTACAAAGGCAACAGCTCTTGGAAATTATTCAGGCGAACATGGAAAAGAATAATCTCAGTTTTCATACGTCAAGGTAAGCTGTTTGCGTTTTAAAGAAAAAAGCAAAAAAAAAAGAATTGTCTCTGTTCCATTTAAACTAAAAAAATGAATGTACATACATTAATGGGCCAGCCCAAAAGTTCGTGAACATTCTTACTGCTGGCTGTATTTCAGCCTAACCCGAAGATTACGTAACTTTTAAAGCCGTTAGTAACCAAGGCCAGTCACTCCAGCATTCAATGTCAACTACTTTTCTATTCTCTTAATGTGACAAACGAAAGTAATAGAAATTATATAGTCTGTTTACAAATCCGGAAGGATCGAACCTCTATTTACAAGTGCAGACTTCTCGAATAAAGAACTAACGTAAACCTGTGTGTCTCGACCCAGGAAACGACATCAGAACGAACAATCGCGCATTCCATCTCAAACTCCACACGTGGAACCGTCGTCTACCCACTACAACAATCAAGACTGTCGTTCACCGCCGGAATCTCGGCCAGCGACGATGGCGTACGTCAAGACTGCACGGGAAAAGCCTCAGGGTTTCGCGTCTTTTTCCAAGGTGCCCGCGAAGTCACGGGGAAATCTTCGAAAGGCACGACCGCAATACGGTGTTCAAAGGAACAACACGGGGGCACAACCGCCGCGAGCGTACGTGCAACCGCAGGTTATGTCTCCCCGTACCGTGATCAGCCCGAACGTTTATACGGAGCAACAAACGACGGGAAACGCGAATCGTAATACCGGTAACCCGTTACCGAACAGTCAGCAGCATCCGATCAATCAGGCCCCGACCAATAATCATAACGTTCCGCGTAGCGAGACGCAGTTCAGTAAGTCCCAGCAATGCGGCAAGTCGAGTAAAAAGCATCAGCTGAAACACGCGACCAGGGAGCAAGACCAGGCCAGAGCTATGGTTCAGGTCGTGCGTTGGTTGGAACGGGAATTCTCGCAGAACGCGGCTGCGAACTCCGGTCGAAAACACGTTCACGAACACATTCATCATCATTATCATCATTACCACACCGAGGCTCTTGTTTGATTCGTTTTTTCGCGCGGGAATTTCAAAACTAACGTTGATTCTTAATTGAAGGGCGGTAAAATGATAGTGTACGCGCATCGGTTTAAGTTCTAAAATTTGGAGATATCGCACTCCGCCTTCCTTGTATTAGGCAGTTTATGTTCTTCCAAAATGTTTAAACGAATGAGCAAGTTCTGCCGGACAGTTACAAAGCCAAGCAACTTTCTTTAATTGTAACTGTACACCACATACTTCTGAGATGTAAAACAATCGACTTAACATCATAAATTTATTTATTGCCAATTTTTTGTACTGCCAGAAGCCTGAACTGTGAATTTATAAATGTGTGTCTGGCAGAAGAAAGGACCAGATCACGGTTCCTCCCATATACAAGATTTTTTTAGCTTATACATATAACCAGTTAAGGGTCAAAAGAATTATGAGTATCCAAACATCTATTAAGTGAGTTCAACTTGAATGTTTTGTTGAGCTACCTTTTGATATACTTTGTTAAGTGATGATTTTTTACACTCCTTTGTTGGAATGCAGTCAGTTCCTGGCGAAATAATGTTTTAATTCCGAATACGAATACTGGTTGACTAAATATGTTGTAAAATATCTTATTAAGCATCTGACGTTCAGTTTTGTAGAGTTTAAATGACTTCTTACTTTTACATTGGTTAGATGAAAGAAGTTCTGAAAGAAGTTGTGACACATAATGTTTAAAAGATCCTATGAATGCATAATTTGAGAATCACTGCCACATTTCGTTCTTCCAAAAAATACGACGTCTTTAAGCTCGGTTCGTAAGTAATTAGTCAATGACGAATTAAAATGTAAGCTTTTGGTTTTTGTACTAAACGTAAGAACGAACGAGTAATCATTTTGGAAAGTCATTGATCATACCTAAACGAGTAATATATCGAGAAGTTTTATTCTTGAGAGTATGTAAACATGTTCATCTTATTCTATAGGACTTGTTAATTATTTAATATATATTATAGGCTGATCCATTTTATGTTCTCTTTTGGATTTCCAAAGTAGATGAAAGTATGACCAGGTGTTTTCATCTGTGTGTAATAGTATAAAAAAGATCTAAGACGATACCAATGATCTATTAATATACGGAAGAGCTTACTACCGTGTTTGTTATTTAAAAACTTACAATTTGTACTGTAACTTGATATTTGTATTCCTACAGATACAACGACGATTCGTTTTGTATATATACATTAACAAAATAATGAATTCAATTTGTACGGCTGATAACTATACATAAAATATCTCAATTCTCTTTACAACTGTAATCAGGAACGAATTTTTATTTATATTTTTAGTACAAAGTACAGAGATCCGTTAATGTCACAGAAAATTTTGTTAACTCTATTTCGAACAATATACATGTAGATTGTTACTACACGATCATTCATCGTTCTATCTATAAGAAATACTGACATTTTTTACAAGACAGTATTAGCCCGTAACAATAATGTAATCGTTATGTTATATGGCTGCCTGGGATATCGATATTCGAATCGAATTTGACTACTCTGTATATGTATGTAAAATGTACATTCGTGAAAACTACAGATATCTCTTAGACTCGTGACGTTCAACGGCACAAGAGCTAAGGGACCGTATACTTACGTAAGTGATAAAGTGCTTTTGTAACTCGAGCTTCCATGCTGAACGTTTGAACAAATTTAGGCAGAGGTGTGTGCCTGCCGACTTTTTTCGTGGACGCTAAGCGTTCGAAAATACCTCGATGGAGTTTCCTTTGATCATTTTCTTTAGAACATTTTTGCCTCTTAATTGACATGTGGCGTAAGTCTTAAAATATTGAAAAATCAATTTACTACAATATGAATAAATAGGTACTTCATATAATTTGGTACTGTTTCAGATAATACGTATAAATTTATTCTCTTATTCATAAAAGAAATAAATATTTGTTTTTAGGATTCTGAAAAATTCTGAAAAATTTGGCATTAATATATTTATGGAAAAAAATTTACTTCCAATTATCAAATGAGAGGCTAACTTGTAACCTGACTAGCAAGTGTGTTCATTTCAAATAATTGTGAAACATGACACGTATAAATTTTTAGTCAAGAATTTAAAAACGTTTGCTTGTTATGGAGATCTTGGTACAGATTCGTATGGAAATGTTTTTTTCGATATATGCAAATTTTTTATTGGCAAATTACATGGAATTATATTAAAATTGAATTGAACTTGATTATGTTATAAGATACAGTAATGAGATAACCAAAAAATGTGATGAAGTATATAATACTATTAAAAATATTACATTAATAACATTGAAATCGTACCAAGACTTCTGTAGTGACTCAATCTTCCTTACTTGGATATTCAATGTTGCTGTTTTTACGAGAAAACATCAATTTAAAGTTATTCTCTTAAAAATTGTAACATAAATCGATGGTGCTCTCATATTCCAACGAATACAATAGTTTATCCTGTAATGACTAATAACCCTTTCGTTGTATTTATTTATTTCTCGACAATACAAGAAAGTATTAAGCTAATGTACTTGTAAGGACACAATTATGAAATTCGTATTCGTCGCGAACTTCGATGAAACGGGAATGGAGCAAATAATCGTAAAGTAGAATTATTACTGTTCTTATTGTACTATTTTACATTGTAGGAGGAAACGAATTTAATTTAGACTGTAGGGTTTAGAGAAAATTTGAATCCTCCTTACGGTACTGTATTGCTCATAATTATTTGAACATTGATTGCTATTCTTAAGGTATATTTTCACATGACAGTAGAAGTCATGGCTTTTGTTGTCGTGACACTGTATGTCAATGTAACTCAATCAATATCACCAACAACGCGACATCTAAATTTCACGACGACAAAAGTCATAACTGTATAAGTCACGATTTAATGTCATGTGAAAACATACCTTCACTTCAATTTCTTAATTATGTACAATAATTAAACATATTTGAATATGGTTATTATAAATTCAAGTAATTTATTATTAATAAGAATTCTTTGTATTTCTCTGTGATGAGTTCTGTAACAGTTAAACACAGAAGTATAGTCCCCCTATTATTCACAGCATACAGTTTTTTGAATAATTATGAGTAGTATTGTACGCGAAATCCTGGTGTACAAATAATGGTCGAAGTTAAATTTTTGAGAATTGACGAAGGAAGTATTGTGTATACGTACCTTTTTAGACCTGACTTTCAGCGCAGATAGAATGTTGTAAGATGTAAAAAAGGGATGGACTTGTTAAGAGTGCCTTGTCATATCTCTGTTACTGTACAATTAACTATTGCATTTTGTTTATGTGACACTTTCTTGAATTCCATTGTATCATTCATTATCAATGCAGTTACAATAATGTCTCTTTAGCGGTATGTTAGTGAACTATGTACCCTCTGTATTATTTGGAAATGCATGATGCCTAGGTCTAAATAACGGAAAGTGTTATGGATATTTTTCTATCGAGGACTCGACGAGAAGAGTATAATTATAATATTTATTAATTACAACAGATATTACTAACAATACGATTAGAGATGACGACAGTTTCTACTTGTACATTTGGTCTTGGATGGTGGCACTATCCAGAGACATGTAATTTTATATTGATCTTTGTAATCATTGTAGATATTTTGTGTAATGTATTTTTTATTGATATTTATTAAAACACATTTTGATACTACATTATTTGGAATTCACTTTGAATTCCTTTTCAATCAAGTAGTTCATGAAACAGACCAATAAAGTCTTGAGAATTATTTTCTCTTACCATTTTTAACCCTTTAAGAACTTTATTAATGTTGTATCAGTATTTTATTGAAAATTTATTTGAGTCACCGACTATTTCTTTTTAATGTAATAAGCAATATTCATTATATTTTGGCTAGAAGGATATGTATAATGAAACATACAGATAAACCTTACAAACTACGATTATATACATTTTCCACACCTATGTGAAGTTAGCCGGCTAACTTTAACTTTTTAACTTTTCATTATACCTAATCGATTGGTGGTCGTTTGGTGGTCATTGGTGGCCTAATCAGAAGATTTGATGGTTACGCGTTCTTTTATAATTAAGTGATTAAAATTTGACCATGAAGTTAGCCGAAAATTGTTTTTTTGGCTGGTTCAGTTTTATAAATGCTCAATCGATGCGTAATCGTTTGGTGGTCATTGGTGGCCTAATTATAACATTCGGTGGCACTTAGTTTCTATAAAAAACGAAAAAAATGATGTCATCTGGCGGTTACAGGATACAGGTGTACCAACGCACGTTTATAGTCGCTAAAACAGATATATCTGGATAGATTGTTTTTTTCGGAGGAATCAATCGATGTAGAAAGGTGTGCTAATGATTGGTGGCCTAATTACATTTGGTGATACATAGTTTCTACAAAAAACGAAAAAAACGATGGACATGGTCATCTGGCAGTCTCAGGAAATAGGTGTACCAACGCACGTTTAAAGTCGATAAAACAGATATTTCTGGATCGATGGATTCCTCCGAAAAGACAATCGAACCAGAAATATCTGTGTTATCGACTGCAAACGTGCGTTCGTACACCTGTATCCTGTATCCGCCAGATGACTACATCGTTTCTTCGTTTTTTATGGAAACTAAGCACCACCAAATGTTAAAAAACTGAATCCGGTGAAAAAAAAATTTTTTGGCTAACTTCACGGTCAAATTTTGATCACTTAATTACAAAAGAACGCGTGACCACCAAATGTTCTAATTAGGCCACCAATGACCACCAATCGACCACCAATCAATTGGGTATAATGAAACGTTAAAAAGTCATAATTGCCCGGCTAATTTCGCAGAGGTGCTTGTATTGGCTTATATGACCCCCACCATAGAAGTTTCCGGGCCTATGTATATGTACCACCAGAGTTGGGCGAAGTTGGTCAGAATGTAATGAATGTAATCTACTTACAAAATCTAAATTGCAATGTAATTGCGGGGAAATTACAATTACTTATATTGTAATTGTGATTTGGATTTTGTAATTAGATTCCATTTTTCCCAACTCAGTATACGATGATCGTATACGTATCGTGATCACAACAATCACAACTAAATACCCCAAATGTCATTCAAAATGGTTCAGGAAAATAGGACTGATTACTGACGTACTGACATGTTCAGTTCGTAACGACTATCTTATGTCAACGATTTTCTTTTGATCGCAGCCATTGTAATTTAGCATCAGCGGAAATTGTATTATTTGTTGGCTAAAAGAATAAGTACATACATACTTGTATGGACACTCCGTGATCAGCTTGGATCACTTCTTCCTCGAAGATGACTTCAGAGAACTTGAGATACTATCCAATTTTTAGTTTATTAGAACCAGAGTTTATGTCAAAGATTCATATGGTTTTTGTATATGGTATTGTTATTTTGTACTTTACGACAGTATATGAAGTATTAAGAAACATTTCTTTGTTAAATTTACTTAAACAGGTAGCTCAGAAAAATGCGGTTTAATTGTAACAAAGGATGGAATACTATATGCCTTAGGAAATAATAAACTTGGTGGTCTTGGAATCGGTGATAGTCAGGGTACTCTTTACCCAACAATAGTTGAAGTATTATCTGGAAAGGATATTAAAACTTTTGCATATGGCAGTGGTGGACATGTTTTAGCACTTACAAGTAAAGGAGAGGTATATATTACCATAATATTTAACACTAGAAATTCGAACGATAAACATATCCATTTCAATGATCGATAAATATGACAAACCTTTAATACTATTTAAATTTATAAATTAATTAATTTCTTCATTTTCATACTGCATTGAAAGTTGTGAAAGATCTGAGAAAATGCATTGTTGTAACATTTTAATCGTCCTTATAAGAATGCACTAACCAATCATTTTGACTGCATTGAGAGTTTTGATGTTAACAAGAATATGTCATATCATTCAAGTTATATCATACCATTTATCAAGATATTTTATTTACTAGGTATATTCATGGGGGTGCAATACATATAGACAGTTGGGACACCAGACTACTGATAGAACTTATCATGTACCAACTTCTGTGCATATGAATCTTAATGAAGACCTTATTGTAGACATAGCCTGTGGAACTAATCACACTTTGGCATTAACAGCTAATGGGAAGGTCTGTGTGAAGGAAAGCAGAATCATGCAAATGAAGTAGTTTAATTTCAAATGCTAAACAGATTCTTTACATTTAGGTATACGCATGGGGCAAAAAGTATGACGAAGAAACAAATTCCAATTCATCAATCACGAATGTAGTCAGAGGTGGGGAGGCACGTGGGTTTGGCTTTGGCTCTAGCTTTCCAAGAAATAATCAGACTTTCATCCACCCTCCACTCGGAGGAAGAAGTAGCACTAACCCCTTACTGATTGAAACCCCAGCTACACCCACGAATTCATCAGTAACTCTAATACATTGCATATTAACAGAAAAATTTGTGTGTATTAGTTGTGGAGATAAATTCAGCGTAGCAGTGAAAGACAATGGAGAGGTTTATAGTTGGGGTGATAATAGCTGTGGTCAATTAGGACTTGGAAATACTAGTCAGATTAAAGAACATCCATCTAAAGTCACAGCACTTGCTGAAGTTCTAATAAGTATTAGACATTTCTTCATGTTTTGCAAATATATACATTATTATGTTGACTATATTAATACTGGCTATTTTGAATTACAGAAAAAGTAGTTTGTGGTTATGGGCATTGTTTAGCATTAAGCGATGAAGGTAACCTTTATGTTTGGGGTGCAAACAATTATGGACAACTAGGTCTTGACACAAACTTAAATGTCTACATTCCAGTAAAGGTAAAATTTCATGCTATGAATGTTTTGATGCATTTAGACAAGTAAGAATTTGTTTAGTTGAAAGTACCGGAAATGAGAAGAGTATTGGATATAGCAGCTTTTCATTACGGAAATATAAGTGTAGCTATGGGAGACGGTAATCTAATATTTATGTGGGGTCACTGTCTGGGACTAAGTATCAAAGTTCCAACCATTACACGATTAAAGTCCATCTACGACGCTCAACTTCATAGTGAAGGACCAAGTTATCTGAATGACTGTGTAAAACAAGCATTTGATGATCCAGTATGTATTTGTGTTTAGTGGTGTATTTACTTATTGGACATTATCGATTGCACTTACGTGTTGTATTATGTATTGTAGTCCACTAGTGACCTCACTATTCAAGTACAGGGGAAACCAATTCATGTACACAAATTCATTTTGAAGATCCGTTGCGAATACTTTAAAACGATGCTTCAGGAGCCCTGGGAAGAAAATAAACAGTGGTAAATATTATTTTATAGTGCATGCTGTACTATTTGTTGATGTAATTGTTTATTTCAGTGTTATAAAACATGAACTGTTTTCATACGATACATACAGAGCTTTCTTGAAGTATTTATATACCGACGACTTCGATCTGCCTCTAGAAAACACATTAGGTATATAATACTTAGGGTTTTCTCACTGGGATACCACGTTTTATATGTATATTATGTTTTTATCCGCAGAACTCTTAAAGTTAGCAGACGCTTACAACCTTGATCAGTTAAAGAGTCATTGCACACAGGTAATAATAGGAAATATTACCGTGGAGAATGTGCTTTCTCTGTACACCAAAGCTATCGCGTTCGAGTTTACGGTATGCGATATTTTGTATTATTAGTCTTCTTTTGCATACTTTAAGTTAGTTACGCTACTGTATGTTTCCAGAACTTAAAGGAGTGTTGCTTCAATTTCGCTGTGAAACACATGATTGCAGTAATACATTCACTGGGTTTTGTTGAATTAGATGCATCCATAATGAAAGATTTTGTAATTAAGGCTATTGAAGCGGGTGCATTTAAGACGTAACTCGCGATGCTTATTGTACGATTATATTGTGGCGCATTTATATTTTTATAATTCTCAGTAAATGTATGTTATGTTACATACATTTTTGTATACTATGTAATAACATCAGATTGAATTAATTAAAAATTAAAAATTACTCGGCAACCCGGGTATCCATGAGATATCAAAATGTACGAGATAGTCGAAAATCTTGATTCGAAAGTCGATCATTTTTCAACCATTTTCGATCAATATCGGCAATAAACGGAATAAACTGAAGAAATTTAATGTATGTATTTAATATTTTTTTCTATACATTATTCGTAGAGTCAAGCTCGTGGGCATACATTCACACACATGGGGTCTCTTACGTATGCTCCGGGGGTTCTATGACCCCACTTTCTCACACACGGGGTTCTACGTATCTCCGGGGGTTATATGACCCCATTTTCTCACACACACGGGGTTTCTTGCGCATGCTCCAGGAGTTCCATGACTCCACTTACCAAGCTACTACACAGTTCATCGGGACCATTTCGGGATCACCGCCACCACGGGAGTTTGCGGATCTGTATATACGACCGTGCATACAAAAAACTAATTACTTTTAATATGCTATTACGAACACGTATATCTACGTATTGTCCCATAAATTTAAACAAACAATATACGAAAATCTATTATTTTTCATTTTGCATTATTATTTTAAATAACCAAATATTTGGCAAATAAATCATTTAGAAATAATTTATTTCTGAAATAAGATTTTGGAATTTATTTGCATACATCCTTATTTTCAAATAAACTTATCTGTTATTTTATTTGGCATAAATATTGGCTCTTTTTATTTGTAGTTTTCAATTCAAATCAAAAGTACCCAAGCCTGTTTTATATAGTGAGAAGACCTTTTTTTAATACGTTAACAACGAACGGACAGGGGAGAGTCCGTTTGCCACATGCGATAGCGATCTCTTCGATTTATTTATTATTAATTATCATTCACTTTTGAGAAAACAAGACTAACAATAACAATTAATTCGTCACCAGTTATAAACATCTGTGCATGACAAAATGATCACGTAGTTCGTTTAAAAAAAAATCATAACGTAGAGGACAGCAGAAAATCCCTGAATTTTTACGCTATCGGTATTTCAGAACATGATACACGAAGTCCCATAAGATGATAGGTCTATCCAGGTCTATCCTATACCTAGTCGGTGCTACTACACAGGTCGATACTCATCATTCGATACGAGTATTTTTGTTCGATACCTACTTGGTATCGCAACCGCGGGTATCGATACCAAAAGTACTCGGTATCGAAACAAAAGTATCGAGTACTGTACTCGTATTTACTTGTATCGATTCATCCCTAGTGAATCATACGTGATAATACGAACGAAGCATATAAAGCTCCATTCGTGTTAATACAAATACCCAAGAATTCGTATTTTATCGGTAACGTCGGATGTGATACTAAAATGGTACTAGTGCCTTAGAAAATTAGACCACGAAAATACATAAGATGTTACATAGATCTAACATTACATATACCTCGTTTGTGCTGAGAGGTTGGTCCAGGTTGGTCAAATATTTTTATTGGCGGCGGAGTTTTATAAATAACGATTACAATATAAATATAATTACTTAAAACGCGTTGGTCGCGATTCATTAGTATAAATTCGTATCTATGTTGATATAAATAAACCAATCAGGTATAATCCAAATCGTGACGTCATCATGACCCAAAATTTGAATCCTTAATTTTACTGTATTACTTTTGAAGTAATTTAAGTAATAGTTTAATTCTTCTAGAATTTTAAAGTGTAACTTGAAATCTAAATCGGCCATGATATGACGTTTATTTACATCAGCGCGAACTAGACGAAAGTATGTCCGTAAAATGAACATACCCACTTATTTTATATCATGAGAGAAATGAACTTTAGACCATTGTCGACAATTGGTCGCGCCACGTATAAGAAAGGTTGATCAGCACCCGAATATATAGACATTTCGCGATAAATATTTTGCTAAGGAGTTCATTATAATTTTTAATTGTTACGATATATCGATCTGTTTCTTAATTAAAAATGGCGCGTGCACTTGTAGGTGTAAAGAGAGTTATCGATTATGCAGTGAAGGTATATTTTTAATAAAATAATAAATACTGTCTAATACTCTATGTTAACATTGTTGATATATTTTGACCGCTTAATTTTATTTCGAATATTTCAATACGTGTTAAAAATATTTATGCAATTATTGAATAATTAAATGTACGTTTTATCAAATTCTATGGATTATAATAATATTAAATATTTGTTACGGAATATAATGTTAGATTCGATAGTTTTACTTTATTTTATATTTTTCTTTCAATTTTAGATTCGTGTTAAGTCTGATAAAACAGGTGTTATAACAGATGGAGTAAAACATTCAATGAATCCTTTTGATGAAATTGCAATTGAAGAAGCTGTTCGAATGAAAGAAAAGAAGTTAGTGCAAGAAATAATTGCAGTTTCATGTGGACCAGCACAGTCTACAGACACATTAAGGACTGCGCTTGCAATGGGTGCTGATAAAGGGATTCATGTTGAGGTATCTGGATCAGAATATGAAACTTTACAACCCATTCATGTTTCTAAAATTTTAGCCAAGTTAGCTCAAGATGAAAAAGCTGATTTAGTTATTGTTGGTAAACAAGCTATAGATGATGATTGCAATCAGACTGCACAAATGATTGGAGGACTTTTAGATTGGCCAACGGGAACGTTTTGCAGCAAGGTATGTTGTTTGAATTCCAATTTGAAATAATGCTACATAACATTAACTTTCACGAACAGTCTATTTACTTTAACTAACTTTCTGTTTTCATATTAGATTGAAAATAATAATGGTGAGCTAACTGTTACTCGCGAAGTTGATGGAGGTTTGGAGGTCATAAAAATGAAAACACCAGCAGTTTTAAGTGCTGATCTTCGTCTTAATGAACCAAGATATGCAACATTACCAAATATTATGAAGGCTAAGAAAAAACCAATTAAAAAGATGACACCAAAGGATTTAGGCATTGATACTACTGCCAAAATTGATATTTTGTCAGTTGAGGAGCCACCAGTCAGAGAAGCTGGTGTTATTTTACCTGATGTCGATAGTTTAATTGTGAAACTAAAGGAAGGGGGACATGTTTAATTGTATGTTATGCTTAAAATGCAGCAACAGAGTTATCTTACTGTCTTTATACTCATTATATTTTTTATTAAAGTTTACTGTTTATAGAACAGTTTTTCATACATCATAAGATGTTGTACGTTATATCTGAATAAATTTCTATTACATAAAATAAAGCAGTAGGTCCTTTTATGATATAACTGATATTAATAATAAAATATTATAACATTTTATATATGATTCTTTGGCAAATAACAACACTCTGTCTAATACATTGATTTTGTACTTCTATATTTTCGCGCAGTATTCACGCTTACTTTTCTGAGTGCTTAGAATATATGTAAACAAATACTTTTTCATATTAGTAACCTTTATGAATGTCCATGTAAGTAGATTTTTAACCGTTTTTAGCAACCATATTGTTAATAGATCTTAAATCTGATTAAATACTTATAAGTACAAAGGATATATCAGATTTAATGTCATGTTTGATCTATGTGTAATAATATATTAAATATTGACATGATAGTTCAAATATTTTGAATTTGTACATCGTAATTTATTTTAAGGTATAGTCGGAAAAAATATTAAAAAGTATGTAGTTCATGCTACATTCTCAAAATTGTAAAATCCATAATATTCTCTTTCATCACAAGTTAGGTATATCATGTATATAGTGTTTCACTAAAAGTTTCTAGGCATTAAATACAAAACCTATGCCAAAATACTTTTCTATTCACTATTATAATAAAATATGCAATTCATACAATCTTCATAAAGATTAGAATACTCGTTCTATTATAATCTTTTCTAACGAAAAGGAGGATTTAAATGCCAATACCCGTATTATTTCCCGACGAATGTTAACTTTTTAAGAGATTGAATAACAATGTGGCATTTTTAGTCTGTTGCATACTATAATAACCCAACCCCAAAAAATTATCTCTTTAAACATTTGTCTACAATACTTTGTATAAATTAATACGTTTTAGGCAACTTATTGGGTCTTAACAGTCTTTGACCTTTTAAATTGATGTTATACTTCAAAAGGTAAAACTGAGATCATTATTTAAAATAATAGTCATACGTTCATAATAATACTTTCCAGTCGAATCTAGTATTACTGGTATGTGTGATAGGCGGAAATGGAGGTGGATGAAGCTGCCATCCATCTAACCCTTCTCGAGCTGCTAAGCATGCTAAATATGGTACTCTTTGTACTAATCTAGTAACTTCAGCAGCTGGTGGTACTTCACCGCCTGTTAATTGTCTCGTACAAGCTGTTAATGAAGCAGCATGAGCTACTATTAAAATATTTCCTACTGTTGTACTTTCAATAATTTGTTTGATTAATTCATAACTGCGTTCGTAATACTGTGCTGCATTCTCTTTCAATGGAAGCTCCTTTGCTTTAATAACTGGATTGTAACTTTTGTCTATGTTAAAACCTGCTTTTATTAATTCATCGGATGTCATCCAAACTGGTACACCATTTGGGTACCATGCCAACCATTCTATCAAACCTGGCTCTACCTTCATCGGAATATTTGAATCCAATCCTTTTAAAATATGAGCCAGTGTCTGTATACATCTTAATGATGGCGAAGTAAAAGCTATATCTATTTTAATATTAGAAGATTTCATGGCTTCTCCTACCAAGCTTGCCTGCATTTCACCCACAGTTGTTAAAGGACTGTCATTTTGGAAATCCTGTATATTTCTTGATGGAATTTCCTTTGGCATGTTTAAATCTCTTCGAACGTATGAGCCATTTGATTCGAAACAGTAAGGAATCCATGCTCCAAAAGGAAAATGTTAAAAGTGTAATCATTACAGTTGACAAAATAAAAAATAATGTAAATTTACTGGTTCGTTAGTTCTTGGTATTCCATCAGGACTATCTGTAGAATCATTCGTTAACAATAGTGGTGGTTTTCGTGTTAGAGGTACTTCTTCTTTTTCTATAACATCATTTTTATTACCAGTAAGCGGTATTGTTGCGTGCAAAGTCCATGAATCTGATTCAGCTGTTCTTTTTATATGACTCAAAGGTAGCCGACCTGAAGTACCAGTTAACCAAGAGGTACCTTGAACGTAATCATTCGAAGATGAACTACATATTCCTTCTGGAATAGAAATGTAGTCTCCTTCCATCAAATCTAATTCATCATATTCTCTGGACATGTAAGCTTGTGTCACCTTATACACATTCTGTATCCTAGAGTCTCTGGAATACAATCTAAGCTCCCAATTGGCTGAGGCAGTAGGTGTCAGTTTCTCTGCCATTAAGCGAAGTTGTTGATACAGTTTACTAGGGAACTGATAAAGTAATGTTAGATGAAATGAATTTAATTGGGGCTCTGCAGAAATACCTAAGCCCGCAAGTTTATTTACATATCGAAGAGCAACATTCTCCAACCAATCAGTATTTGTTTCTTTCACAAAGAGTCCCATAAAATTAGGGGAGACATAAGTTTCTAATTCAATGTGATTGCGTAATTTGTCTTGATTAACTATATTTTCAAGGGCATCTATCAACTCTCCGATTGACCCATCTGGCGCCTACAAGTAATGTCTTTATATTACTGTCTAATTTCAATTAATTTACACTGATAACATCGTATCATACTTTAAAGAATGGCACAAGCGTAATATGTGGCATGTAATTATGTGCTCCATTCCAAGTTAGCTCCTTGGTTTCTGACCAGAATCTCAGAAGCTGTTCAGCCAATGCACCTGTTGGACAAGCGTATAAAACATATTCTCTTTGGCTATCAGTTTCCACAGTTGGGTCTCTAAGATGAGCCACCATCCAATCCACTGCCAATTGAATACCACGATGTCCTGTAGCAACCAATGCTTTCTCTCTATAAATGAAATAATAGTATTTTTAATTTCCACTGAATGTATGTATATAAGCCCATTAATTGTGTTAGTTCGACTTTTAGATACAAGGTACAAATACTGTGAGAAATAATGTTGCATTGAATGCTCAAAATTAAGGAATTTATATTTTAAATTTTGTGGATATATACAAATCACTTGAAAGAAATACTCGTGACAGAACGGTAGGAGAGGGAAGGTAATAATAATAATACTTAAAGCTTCACAGCTGTTTGTTTAGAATGCGTACCGTGTTACCCAAAATGTTCATTGGCGTTGATACAATAACAAGGAGAGAACGATAGTGTTCCACGAAGATATTATATGGTACTCACACTCGGCGTTTAAAAAAACCCCTCTTCAACAGCGTTTGCACCATGGTCGAGTGTTGTTCTGACATTTTCGTCGGAGTTTGATTTTTCTGTGGCGGTAACGTCGCCATGACGGTACATTACACTCGACAGCTACTATTACCAACATCGCTGCATTGAATGCAAAGCTAAATAGGTATTTATTATAACATAGAGATATTTACACTACAATTTCAAAATATATACAGATAAAATAATATTTCATATTTTAATGAGCACATAACGAATTTTAACTGTGTTTTATTTGAGTATTCAAACAACGAAGCAAAAACATTGTAGTTCCCGTTTATAAAACGTTAAATAAAATGTTTTATTTAAAATGTGAAAGTATTTGTAATATTTAGAATGTTTTATATCAGTCCGAGAAGGTTCAACTAAACAATATGCTAAAGGTGAATTTTTAAAGAGAGAAGTGTCATAGATCATAAGTTTCCAGAAGGTATTTCGAATATTTCAAGGTTACAAATAAAATGTTTTACTGAATGTATTGGAAATACAATAAGTTTGATTAATTTTCCTACTATTTGAATATAGCTACTATTCATTTCTTTAGTTTAATTTCTAGAATTTAACATGTACTGTGTTACGCTATTTTGGACATTATTTCAAACAGTAACTACATAAACCTGAACATATTATCGTCATAGAAATTCGCTTCAACATCGTATTTCTATTTTAATGAACCTGATTTCGAAGTAATGTAACATATAATACACAGTTTTATAAAATAACAGACAAACCTTTTATCTTTTATTAATTCATTGCCAATACCTTGTATATAACATCTGTTTTTCATTCTTAAATTTATTTCGGTCATAAAAAGTTTATAGTTAACAGTATTTTATACATTTTCCATCATTTAATTAATTAATTATCATGCATTTTTGATGTTTCATTATTTAGCTAAGTATTATTTTCGTCATCTTAAAGACCTGCAACGATACTTATTCGTGACACAATCCAACATTTTATTTATCAACCATTAACAATATTTGTTCTTACGGATGAAACTAACAATTAATTGAATTAAAGTGTTCAATTACCATCCAATGAATATTGCCGTTTTCATAAATTCGTATTGCAGTCGCAGAGTTATGAAACTGAAAAGCCGTTGTGTCTTCAAGTACTTTTATTTATATTAAAATTATAAAATCCAAGAGAAATTCAAACAACCCTCGCAGCACATACTATACAGTATATATATATATATATATATGCACATGTATATATTTTATATAAAATAAAACGCATTTAACCCTGCCTGTAGTCGAAAATAATCGAGAATTTCGATTTTCTACAAATACGCGAAACATATTTATATATATTGGGTTTCTATATCCAAGTGTATAAACGTTCAAGCTCGAGTTTCTCGCATAATTCATACAAAGTCGAAATTTTCGAGTTATCATATATATTTTCTACGGTTTATAGGTAACCGTACTCGCGGTTATTGTTCATCCCGGATGAATTAATTGTTCATCGCCGTTAATAATGCGACCATCGTCGCCATATTTTAATCCGTTTACTGCGATCGTCTTCTAATTTCGTACAGTGAAAACGTAAAGACTAACAACTTGTTCGACGCGCGTAACAAGAATGCAGAAAACGAAATACACACACACACACATTTCGAATTCGTTGATCGTGTTTAGCCTTTTACAGAGTTCGTTCCGTCTCGTTTTCTTTGGCATTCCCATAATGATCGAGCGAACGCACGAGCGCATTAATGGTAAACCAATCCGTGAAGCGTAAATTATTTTGTTTCATTAACATTCCACCGTGTTTATAAGGGACTCCACGAACGATTCGATCATTGTTGCTATTTTATCCACGTTCGATATCGAATAACTTTCTAATAAGAAGTGTGAGTGTATAACATACGGACACGTAGTAATCTGTATTTAAAATAGATTTCAAGAGTTAATTTATGGAGCTTCCACGTTGCAGCTTATTTTTAAAATAACTATTACCGTTGAAAATGTGATCCACTATTGAACATTTTTTAATTGACGAGCGCGAAGGATTTAAGGTGTAACTCTATTTTTAATTTATCGTGGCTGTGTTAGGTATTTGGATTCTTCGAAGGATCTTAACTTATTGTAACTTCTTTACAATTTTCGAAGGAATAATGATATGAAAACTATGAATTTAATACCATGTAATTAATTATCCGGCGGAATTCGATATCACGATCGATTTCGAATCGATTCGAGGATTTATCATTATTCGCTTCGTAACACAGAGATTTCTCTCTTATAGAATTTTACAATATTTTAAAATTATTCTTTCCTTTCGTGAAATGATTCTCGTTATCCGAAACGGTACCTAGTGCAAGATGAAACAAAATAAATTTTTCGTTCAGCGGTTCGAGTTACGTCGAATGGAAAACAGGCAAAAAGGATATAAATGTATACGTACGTATTTAATTCGTTTGACTAGGTCAGCGCTGAATACCTGAAAACGACACAGGATAAAATCTGTAATTTCCAACATATCCGTGATAAATGCATGATACAAGGAAATTGCACTCGCTTTTCGCGTCGATTCGCGTGTATCGATCTCAGCGTGTCAACATTTCACATTATCGCACGGATCGTACTATCGTCAATATTAATTTTCATAAATACATCCACTGTCACTTACAAATTTAAGATCGCTTATTCGGACAAGAAACGAATCTGAATTTTTACATCAGAATTATTCGGTTTGTTTATGTAAATATAAATTTAAAAAATTCTAATTTAGACAAATGATATATTTGAACAATAAAATCTTTATTTTTAAGTACTATACAAATTCACCGAAAAGCAATTTCGTTCGCATAAAAGAAAGGAAAAAAATCTGGTACTAATTATTAAGAATTTTAATATTAAATCTTTTATTTGTATATGAAAAATTTTTGGAATTCTGTATCAGATGAAAAAAAATGTGAAAAATGATTCTCTACTTATTTTAGGTGGTAACAAATGGCTGTTCTCTTCATTGCACATTTTTATGACTAGATACAACCCTGTGACTAGTATTATCTAGTAGAACGTGTTAAAACAATATTTCATTTACCGACAGATCGATAATATTTGCGATGTGAAGGTCCCCTTTTTCAGTTTCTCTAAGCTTTCCTTAACCATCTACGAAGGCACTGTTAAAACATCATCGACACCAAACTAGTCGGAAATGAAACAATTCACAAAACTGACCATTCCTTTTTCGATATTTCTGGTATACATATATGTACAAGTCACTCGCGTTCTTACATCGTATAAATATTCTTTTGTACCAGTGTATAATTACAATTTATTTCTTGAAACACAATGTGGACTCACTCTACACATGGTACAAGATTCCTTCAGGATCCTAAAAGTGACTGTTAATGATGAGACATTAATGATTTATGTGTTCGTCTCATTTCTAAATCACAACAACGATAAAAAGAATATTTTCCCCGACGACACGACGTATTTACACAAACAGCCCCCTTCTTCTCTGGCAGTGTTTGATCGATATTGAACGCGTGTAACCGATAGTACTATCCGCGCGTGAATGTAATTGTTCGCAGGTGTGTATTGTAAAAACAAAAAATACAAGCTCGTCGCCTGATATCAATCACAAGCTGATTATTTATTTCCATGTCGTGTGAAATGATGATCGTGTGATTAAGAAATACTGGTTTAAAACCAACGCGGCTGACAATAATGCGTGCTTATCACTAATTACGGTTAACGATTTCCAATGTCCGTCCGTTTGAACGGTCGATCGGAAACATCGGCGACACTTATCACTGGCCAATCGAACGGTCCCGGTTCAATCAGCCGATCTATCGGTCCCGTAATCATTTTTTTTTTTTCTTTCACCGTGTAACAAAGTGTTCGAGCGACTCGTGGCATTAAATGCGAGCGTTCTTTCGCGACGAAGAATCGTTTGCGCTCCGAAAAATTCACTTTCCTCGCACGAGCCGCCACTAACGGCCACGAAACGGAAAACATACAATTCAAAATGAATCGTAATTTTCGATTCACACGATAATCGAGATCGCCTTTTGCGATTAATAACGACACTTTGTGAATATTTCGCTCGTGACAGCACCCGAAGCTTAATTTAAAAGCACCATATGCACGATAAAGAAGTTATCGTTCCTCGAGAAATACTCGATCTTAATTGTTACAAAAAAGAAAACAAAATGCTTAGACAATTATGAATGAATTTTACAGTTGAATTCATAATCACTTTCCGGCACAGATCGCGAGGGTAAGAGAACTTGTTATGCGACTGAGAAAAATCTTTAGTTTTCTCGATTTTTCGTCGTTTGAAAGATCTCGTCTCGTTTCTTTGATGCGTGTAAAATACCACGAAACTTAGAGACGTTAAAGAAAAATATATCGAACCTCTTTCAAACGACTGTCTAATCAACGATTCGCGGGCAACGAACGCACCTCGAGGGATGGGGAGGGGGGTTGGTCCGTTCCTGGCGGGGGTGCAGAAGGTGCCCCCGCACCTGAGCGGTCAAACTCAGGGCGGCTGTAGATCTTTTATTATATGTAACACTTGGATTAGTAAGAATAATAATCAAAAGTATTGTGATGATTATGAAAATTTTAGACCAACCGAATTTAATCAAATTAATCGTATATGTAATCTTTGTAACAGTACTCGTATACAAGAAAGAACTATCTTTATAGACACCCCAAAATAGTATGTGACATTTAGCCAGATTTAGTGGATTACATAAATTCGTATAGCTAATTAATGGTCGCTATTTATCAACCATAACATTATTATTACAAACATTATGCGTTATTTTCGTACTTACATGTGGAATAAAATATTCATTTTAAGTAAAACCATTCATTTCTTAAGGATCTTTGTTTCATTTTATGAAAATAAAAATTAACAAATATTTTTTGTTTTTATAAAATCAAACAAAGATCCTTAAAAAAACGAATGGTTTTATTTAAAATGTATTAAATTAATAAGGGCGGCGATACTGTTTTTGCACCCAGGCGGCCAACAACCCAGGAACGGCCCTGAGGGGGGACTAAGAGGACAACAGCGTGAAATGTTGCTCCGTAGAACGTCTGTTGAACGAACGTTCGACTAGTATTGCACGAAATATATCTCGATTAAATGCTGGCAACGGGGACCAGCTTCAATGAAAACGAATAACACGAGTACTTACGCGACGGCGAACATCCCCGAGCGCATTGTATTCGGGGGCGAGAGTGGTATTTAGGGGTGGTTGCGCACAATTACGCGTCGAAATTTTGCGCGTTTCGGTCCGATGGATAATCGATAAACATCGAAACAAGTCTTTAATAATCCCTCCATTTCACCCGATTCGACGTCTTCTGTTTCTACTACGCTTTAATTTCTCGATCGTTACAAGTAGTAAGAAATTAATTTGGGTAAACGAAATCGTGTTCTTTGAAGGTGCAATGATCTTATTTAGGAGAACGGATCTGGTCTGGGTTAGGTTTCGTTAAAAACTAGTTCCGTCTGTTATAACTAACGGAAATTCCGTCGGAAGAAGACGTTGGATATTTACGATTTGTTGTTGTTGGCACGAGTTGACGACAAAGGGGGATAGAGAGTCTGTGATCGAGACGAACGCTGTTTGAACGATGATGATTGCATTATCGGAGTGTTGCTGACAGCTTATTAACTGTAAATTACAGTATATTTTATTGATTACAGTTTCGTGGAAACTGTAACTCCGTCCTGTCAAATTTCGGTAATATTTGTTCAATCTTTTGTCATTACTAGACTGCGAATCTTGTGAGTTTATTTTAAATGTGAATATGCAGAACACAAGATAGTAAATATTTTCGGAGAGTATAAATTTTACTTTACTCTGGATTTAACGAAACATTTAACGGGTGATTCTCGTGTAAACAGGTTCGAAAAATCAAAAGTTTTCTTTACATAAATCAAAGGTACAACATTTCAAAAATATGCTCCCCAAGGATAGGGGAATCTGAATTTTCCCCTAATTCTTATATTTCAAGATCGTTTGCTTTCATATTATCAATGGTTTTCTAAAAAAAAAATTTGTATAAATTATTTGTTTTTAGAGCTGTTACACGAGAATCCCCCCTTAATAAAGGAAACAAATCTGTAATGTAACTTCGGTACAGTGAATAAATTCACAAAAATGTGAATTTGCATAAAAATCCCCAGTCTAGTCTTCATTTAGATTACGGAAGTTTATGTGAGCTCACGATTTCATGTATCTTGAATGAATATGTTAACAATAATACAAAAATAATATTAAACTGTACTAGAACCCTTATTTCAACATGTTCCGCAGGCTACGAGACGCTATAAATGCATAAACATCTGCGATGTACCTAAATAGTCGTCGCTATATAATTGCCATAATCGTTTAGGGCCTAAATTAAACACAACTTTAGACGTTCAATCACCAGAATTCGTAGAAAACAAAACTGTCCAAGAGACTACGAGTCAGCCGAATAATTTCTTTCCCGAGGAGACCTTTGTTCTCGAAAAAAAGCACAATTACCAAAAACCTATCCATTTGCCCTATACGTCTGTTCTCCCATTAAAAATACTTTTTAATTCGGAAATTGTAAAAGGATGAATCTAACTTCCAAAGGTTCAATTTGTTTTGCAAAAGGGTGAATTTCATCTGCAAAAGATGAATTTGATTTGCAAAAAGTTCAATTTGGAATGCAAAAACTATAGGTACAAAGACCAATTCGTTTCGAAATCTTCACGTTGAAAACCAACCTCACTTTATTGAAAGGACAGAGTATGAAGCTATTACTGCGTGATGTCTCTACACTCATCATCCCCAATACCTGGCCCCACACCGTTCATCCAGATCATAGTTTCCCAATCTTCTTTGCCTCACCACCCCCTCTTGGAAGTTTTTATTTTGATCCTCCGAGTAAACTATCGCTATTATAAAAATGTCCAATCGTGTAGTTGTGCATGTAATCCTTAAATCATAAAAAGTTAAATTCAAAAATAAAAGAAATAAAGTAACTAAAACAACCCCTCGGATCTCCTCAGCGCCCACTTTGGGAACCTATGATTCAGATCCTAGACTCTCTGCGCGATTTGTGCAATTTGGACATGGTCGTTCGGTACGAAAACTTCACTCGACGTGTCGTGTACCACTTGAAACATTACATTACATTAACATTATTACGTGAAGTTACGTTAACGTTAACATGGACACCGACAAGCACCGATGAGCACGGTTAACGATCGTGAGGATCGGTCCCGCACAGAAGGACATTTCGCGGTTGGGGATAGACGGGCATTCGTGGATCGTCGATGTGGCAGCCTTCTTGAACGACGCGGCGGTACTTATTACCATCGGGGGAAAAAGAAACCGTCCAATTGTCCGTTACCCATTGTTGCGTCGCGGAGCGACAGACAGCCCTCCCCCCCTCCCTCCGTCAGGGCCGTGGTTTTTTAGCCGAGGACGATGATCGAGACGGTGTGTCACTCGCGATCCTTGCTCAGGTCCGATGGTAGGTCACAGGTAGACGGTGTCGTCGCCGTCGCGGTCGTCGTCGTCGTCGTCGTTGTCGTCGGTGACCGCGGGGACGGGGACAGATTCATCCTCGAGGTTACAGGCAGCGAGAGGCCCGCTGCACTCATCGCTACGTTCAACGGTATCGTGATGAACGGCTGATTATTCGGCGTCGAGTTCACCGGGGTCACCGTGCCTGGAAACGACACCGAAATCCAGGGACTGTGAGTCTTCGAACAATTTCTCTGATCGTTTGATCGGGTCGTGAAATTGCTGGTGTAATTTAGGCGCGAAGTAGACTAGGTGTTGGGGCTGTTGATTTCACCAGGGTGTTTCAGATAGCCGGATACCCATGAGACACCTGGATAGACGACGGTTGAAGGTTTCAGAGGATTGAAGAGGTTATGTAACATTTTGTTTGTTTGTTTGTGAAAATCGAGTCTTTTTGCGAGGGAACTTTGGCAGCCCGAAAATTCAGATTTTTTTAAAATTTCGTAGGTTTGCAGGGGACCCGGCATATTGGGGCATTGGGCAATTTTTCGGTTTTTACTGATATTCGGTTCATTGGGCTGGAACCGTTAAGGTTTTCTATTTTCTTGTATACCTTGAAAACTATTGTAGATATCGAAAAACTGTTGGTACGAAAATTTAATGGTTCCTTATGCTCTATTAAACTGTGCAATAAAAGGATTTAAAAAAATGTTTTTTAAATAAATAAACAAATAAACAAACTAACTTTTGACAATTTCATTACACAATTCAATTTATCTACTATAGTTTTCAAGATATACAGGAAAATAGGAAAACACATATTAACCTTAAGGGATGGTTTCACCCCGAAGAACAGAATATCAGCAAAGATTCGGGAACTGACTGTCTTCCGAGCATTTTCGTCTGATACTGACAGTGGTCAGAGTAAACTAGTGAAAACTTGGCTATGTTACGGTCGGCATGTTACGTTTAGAACTGAATGTCTTTTGACAAGAGTGAAAGAAAAACGACATTATTTGTTTTACAATTTTTTCTCTCTCATCGAAAGAAATTCGGTCGTAACTAGACTGCGGATGTTTATGCAAAATCACAATTATAGGCATTAATTTTTAAACATAAAAATGAGATAGAAATTTATTTTCTGCATTAGATGTCCCATTATGTTGATAATAATATGTAAATATCATTCAGTTTTATTGATGTTTTTATTTTATTACATTTTGCATATTAAACTTTGCGCTAAATGCATATACATCCGTAGTTTAATCATAACTGTAATGTGCAAACTGCTGAAGTATTTACTTTTTCGCGAGTTATTCCGCTCATACACCGATGTTAATAAAAAAATGTAGACGATCAGCTCCTGATTCAAAATTATAGACATTTACCTGGGTATCTCACGGATGCCCGACAAAAATAGATAAAACAATATGATCTTCGTCCATAATTTTATATCCTGGATTATCTTTACGTATTTTTAATCGTTCTCACGTATCATCGCAATTGCTATTTTCACTAGTTCATTTGGAAACATTTGTAACGTATTCTGTTCCAATAATCGTTGTTCGAGATGATCAGCGTTTCCGATAATCGATGATCTACTGTACACGCAACAGTAATGGCCGCCGCATTTAAGTTGATATTGTGGTTTTATTTGATTCTATCGACGAAGAATGTAACTATTGCCAGGAAAATGATTGAAAGTTATCGAGGATAACGAGTAATTCGAGGCTACAGTAATTGTTCAATATTAATGGAGATCTTCGATGAAGAACAGCCATTACTTTTGGAAAAATCTCTTAGGATTACGTAGACTGTATATACCTACCTCCTTCTTGCGAAATTTGCACAGGTTGCCCATTTTGCCCGATACCAAGCAGCACTCCTGGACTCGGCGAATAAATGACTGTCTGCGGCATCTGGTACATTATGCCTGCAAAAAGGATGGAAAGAATTTGTTTGAAAAATAAAATCGTATCGTGACAACACGATTTTATGGAGATCAATATCTCGAGGGTCGATGAAGCCTTCATATTTGACAGATGATGAGTATCGGAGACCGGGATTAGTTGACTAATTTTTAACATGTTTGATTTTTAATAAAAGTTCACACATTTACTTAGGTATACAGGCCTAATTTTGGAAATCGCTTTAATTGAGCTTAGGTTGTAGTTTTTGTCATATTTAGATTAGTGAGAACAATAACTAGTAATTTACTTATGAATATTTAAGAACAAAGTAATGGTATTAACAAAAATTAAACATTTAATTGTTCATATATATTTGTTGTACGAACTAAATGATGATTTGTAGGAAAAATAAGGTCAGATTAGGCCCACAAGTCATCATTTGAGTCGCAGATAATGCACACATAAAACACTACATTAGTTTCTGTGAGCCCATCTACGAATGCTATCACTGTAAAGTTTATTACCGAAAGGAATTACTGTACTTATCTCAACTGTATTTGTACTATAAAAATTAAATATTAATGTCATCAACGTGGTATTTCACTTCGACTGAAAGAAAAACCGAATAATATTCTTCGTTGAATCGATTTTGAAATCGTCAACACGAGTCTGACTCGATGTTACAGGGCAAGGGGTTAACCGATCCGTCGATCCCGCCACCGAAAGCCTACCACACACGATCCATCGTGCATTTCAAAGAATCACCACAGAAGCAAACTGACAGAGTTGAAAAAACACTGGTAGGAGGAGGGGAAAGAAACGAAGAAGAGAAAACGACAATACCAGAGGCAAAGGGGTAATCGAAGTGGGGCGATTGCGGGGCCAAAAGATCCCCTCGTATCGATATCAACACGCGTGTCGCGGTTATCAAAATTCCGCCAGAGCACGGCGAAACAATGGGCCCAGGCGAACGGAGGGGGAGGGAGAAAAAAAAAAGGAGGCGTACGTCATGTGCCGGTGATCGGTAAGTCGGATGGCATCCACTCCATATATTAGCATCGATATTTATGTGTACACCTGCATCAGAGCCGCGGCTTTCGACCGGATCTTACTTCCCAGTTAGGCATCGCCGTCGTTGTCTTAGTTTGGTCATCGCGGCCCGTACAACTCCTTATGTACTCGCCCTACACGGATAACCTCGTCATCGCTCGCACACTTTTCGCATTTTAAGCGTCCTCTTTCCTTTATCTTCTCCCTCCGATTCGACCACGAACGGTACCCTCTCTCGCTTCCTCTGGCCATTCTGTGTGTGCACACTCTCCCGATACCATTCTTTCTCTCTTTCTTTCTCTTGTTCCTATCCCTTGATCCCCCTCCCCTCCAGCCACCCGTCTTTGTCTCACTCTGTCGGCCGACCTACCTGACTGATTGGATTGCACACGTTCGCCCCGTTGCTGTTGCTCCCGTGTATATACGCTCTAACGATTTTCCACGCCGGCTTTTACCGCTCGCTGACTCTCTCGGCGACCCGTGGCACGCCCACGTGGAAATTCGATAATTGTCACCCCTCCCCACCCTTCTCAGAGATGGGCAATTTCAGTATCTAAGAGTCTTGAATAACGAATAAAAGATGGAAAGATTCTTGGATATTTTTCATCGTTTAACCCTCATCCGTCCCTTATTTTCTTAACTTAATTGGTCCCTCGGTGTTAAATTGACCCAGTGGTAAAAATTAATGTCGATGAAGTGATAAATAGGGAAACTTGCGAATTCTTTAAAGTAAAAATCACGATGCCTCGGGTTAATTTACTTAGACATGACAATAACGTTGTTTCTTAGGAGAACAAATTGTGTGAAAATTGACACAAGGGACGCGGATCAGGGTTTAGCCGGGAGCAGGGAATTAAATTGGTATGATTTTGATACCGATATTATGACATTAGAGCTATACCGAAACCGATTATTACTGAAAACCGAATTAAATACTGGTATTTTTTCGGTTTCTATAAGGGTAGGGCTTATATAGGGTTATATAGGGCGAAGGTACAACTGAAAATACCGGTATTTTACGTTTCGGTAAAAGTCCCTGGCTAGTAATAGGCGGGCATTGGTCTTTTCGATTTTATATTTGATATTTTGAACGATTTTATATTTTGAAGTATGATCCAAAGCCTTCCTCACTGTTGCTACCTTCCGCGAAACTATTCTTATTTAAGGCATGATCTGACTTTTTTAGATCACGAGATGATTGAGGCGATGCTTTATGCACACGACCAAGTTTCAACAGACAACGTTGGTCTTTTCGATCATAGCCTACACCTACTCCTGGGTTAAACGTGGAAATTTCAATTTTTATAAGAAATTAATACTTCTTAAATGAGTCGACATTTGGAAAACTTTATCGGCAAATATTTAATTTTATTAACTGTTTAAAGCTCATAATGATACCCTTAGATAACGCTGCTTTTCACTATGTATTAGTCGAATAAATTTGTGCCCAACTCTGCCCCCTCCCACCCCCACACACGATCAGTTTCTTTAATAGTATTTTTTAATACTATTTTTAGGGGGTTGTTTTTTCGTTGATTTGATCGTCTTTGGGGTTTTTCTTACGGGTATTCTGTACTAGATTGAAGACAGACAATTTATGAGATCTCGTTCGCGGAGGTGAAACCGCGAGACCGGTGCGACGGAAGGAAACGGTGTCACGTTGTTTCTTGTACGCCGATGTCGAGGAAACTCGTCGATCAGGCCGAGCACGGTTTGGACATCTCGTGAAGTTGTATGAACGTACGGCAGTGGATGAATGTTTCGGGACAAATAGCTTTTGTTGTGAATTGGAATTGAGGATAGGTACTACGTTGATGTTATGGTAACAATAGAACTACCAGTAGGGATAAACCGATACCGTCAAGGTATCGATACTTTTAATGATAACTTGTATCGAAAAAAGTATCGATATCTACTTACAATATTCTATATTAGTTGTTTTTTTTCTAACTTTCTTGAAACTTGTAAATCATTAAGAGTAGTTAATTAAACATTTTATCGCAAGTATTAAGATTTAGCTTTTAATCAAAGACGTGGTACCCAGCTTGAGAAGTGGCTAACAGGTCTAACCATTACTCATCGTTTCCACTTGCAACGAATAATAATGATGGTACCGGTGAGTATATCATTATATATTTTCAACAATAATTAGCTATGAATCATACTGATTCATATGAAATTATTGTTGGAAATATATAATGATCAACTACAGCCAGTTTTTGTAAAGATTGAAACAAGTAGAAGTAACCGGTAATGAACAGACAGGGCGGCCAAGTAGTATTCAATGGTAAGTGTGTTTGACGAATTTTCAAAATTGATTTCTATGAAGATACATCGATTTTTGTGGAATGATATAAATGCAGTAGATATCGTCAGCAAGATTTTTATAATAATGGAAAAACTTATTATATATATTTTTAGAAGTATTAAACACGGAGAACTGTAAGAGAAATGATTACAAGTGACAAAGAAATTATTGGAAGATCTAAGGATTGATGATAATTAATATTGGTGATTTCGAATAATCAAGATTCTATTTGATGTTCTATTGTCAAAACTGATAGGTATAAACAGAAAATATTAATTAGGTGCTTAAATTACAAAATATCTTTGTAATTTAAGCACCTAATTAATTTTTTAGATATATTCATGTATAAATAGTCTCATTCACTTTAAATTAGTGGAAGTAGGTCCAGAAAATAAAAGAGCAAATACAGTTAAGAAAAGTGAATTTACACTGCCTGAATAAGCTGTAGAAATTCCGCCATTTTGGGCACCTTGGATTACACACTGACGCTTAGCAGGTTTGAATTAAATGCTAGTAGAATGTTAAGAAATCATATCAACCGGCTCATCTGACCTTCTCTCACAAATAGAAACTCTTTAGGAATTGCAGAAACGCGTAGACGATGCATTACAATTAAATACACGAAAGGTCCGCCAACTCGTGTTTCGTCGGATCTCTTCTTTGTTTCAAAATAGAGAATTTAATGATCTCCATTAAACCAGTCTTTGTACATAAATATAATTTATAATCGATACAAAGTGATCAATTGTTAATTATGTAAATTATATATTACTTTATCTTAGATATACTTTAATTAAAGGATTATTTGTAAATCATTTGCTGCATTTTGGTGTAAAATAGTATGTCTTTCCTAAAGTATTCTTCAAATAGAAATTGCTTGTTTCGTAAAAATGATTAATAATCAATGAAAAAAAATCAGTTATCCGGGAGTATTCTACAAATACAGACTACAAAGTATCTGAGAGAATTGTTTATTTAAAACGTTCCATTTTATTTTCGTACTTCAAATAATTTACGCTCAGGTAAGATGAAGTGGTAAATGAAATTCCATTATTTTTTTCATATACTCACCCGAATGATTTTTTGGGAGATCCTTCGAAACGGGAGAGTCGCCATCGCTGGTGTCTCCGTCGCTTTCATTGGCACAAACGTCCGACCTGGGTGAAGTACCGTCTTCCTGGAACAATACAGAAACACTATTTACCGATTGAAAAAATGAAACATCGAACATAAAATAATCCACACAGTCTTTCAAAAATGTGTTAAAAAATTCTGAAGATAATTTAATATTAAACGTCTCTAAACATACACAAAATACTATAGGTATTACAATACAATTTTGAAAATTTTGTTCTGAAAAAGATGAAACTTTACTCGGATTCTGTATGAAATGGATGGATACCAGTGAAGCACGAGTGCCTAAGATTAATTGAACAGAATTAATCTTTTTTCTGAAGAATTTCTTATATAAAATAGATCAACTTACAAAGGAAAAGAGTTTAAACAGGTATATCAATTGTATTAAAAAGTATCTTATCCCAATCAGAAAGAAGAATTTTCCCGTTGAAAGCTTATTAGGAAATCCTCAATTTTTTACAACACGTAGAGCCATTTATTTTCATTTAAAAAATTCTAAATCTATCTTTAACACTTTCTTTACAAAAGTGTACAAACAGTAACATTCCTGTGTTTTCTAACACTACGAAAGCTTTAACCCCTTTAGTTCTGAATACTACGGAACTTTTAATACATGATTTAAGTTAATTAATATACTGGTGTTAAATCAAAGAAAGTATTAACAAAGAAGAAAAAGGATTCTAATCAAACAATATCCTTTTTATTCGCAAAGAATGCTAACCGTGGTATGCTAAGTCACATCCGGCAAAATAAAATATGTTCATTACACATTTTTTATGTTACGCAATCGACGAACAAAGTACAGGTGGATCTCCATACGTGCGATTTGAAAGTGTATTCCATTTACGCGTTAATTCTAAGAACTGGGTAATTATTACAGGCCCAAGTGTGTATACGAAGAATCGTCGAACAAAAACCATGATGAATTCTTGCGTTTCCATGGGTTCCCAAGTCCACTGACTTTCTAAATCGTCGACGATATATGTATATATATGTACATAGAACAGGACAGACACATACACATGTTTCGATTCACAAGCGTCCGATAATCGTAATTTGTTGACGATGCTGTATGAATCAGATTTTTATTTCGTTTGCATGCGCTAAGATTCTCAGGATCGTGTGACATCGATAGAAAATTTCTGAATCACCGTTACAAAGATCTGTCGCCGATTACTACATCCGTGCGGTTCTGTGATTAGACTGTAAAATTCTTGGTATTTATTGTACACGTACGAAAACGGAAACCTACTCTAGACATAACGTGAAACGTCGCTAATTACCGATGCGAATTTATTAAATTTGGTTTACAAAGTACCTATATCTTCTCCTAGTTCAGAGTAATTTACAATAGTGTTTTATAAATGATATGGCTTTAACTGTCTCATAATACGGTGATATGGACGAATGCCAATAATTATTAGTACTACGTGATAACCATCGAACCAGGAGTCGTTTATTGACCTGTGATTCTTGAGTGAAAAATCGAGATTCACAAGAAAAACTAACCGATAACAGTCAAGTACAGTGATCTACAATTCTATCGAGCGTTCAATTCGACATAGTTCTGAAGCACAAGACACCTGTTGACTACCTCTGTCCCAGAGAAAATGTAGAATTCAAACGACACAACGATCGAGCATTGCTATTAAACAATAAAATTCGAATACTTATGAAGGCACAATTGGGCCAAGTCATGCAGAAGCTACCATCCCTCAATGATCTGAAATGAAGTAAATTTAGTTTGAAGATTTTAATTTTAAAAAAGTAGCTTTATTCCTCCTAGATATATTTGATTTGTTGTTGTTTTGCAATGTGTTTTAATGGCTTAACTTATTTTATAAAAATAAAGTGTCATTACATGTGTTCAAATTATATTGAAAATGGAAAGACGATATTATAAGTTCAAGATATTTTTCGGAAAACCCACAAAGCACAAGGTACAAAAAGGGTTAATTTTAAATTTATTTAAAATTATCTATAGTTAATTTTATTCTTTTTCTATGGCTCGGTAGTTTCAATAATTGTATAATATAAGAGTTGTTCTATGGGTTGTTAATTTTTTGAAAAATAAAGATCACAAAATTACTGGATCCGTATTGTATTTAACTAATTTTCTGTCATTCTGAGGGTTGGGAGGTGTATGCATAACTTAACCCAACTGTACGTACCTACATTCTTTCTGCTAAAGTCGAAAATCGTTACAGACAGAACCTATCCTTATCCTTTCAATCCAATCCACTCTATCATACCCTAACGACCAAGATCCTCCCCCACCCGGTCATCCAAAATTCCCCACCCCTATAGTCTACAATCGTTGCATATAGACAACCCAGTCAACATCGAACCTATCCTAATCATCATTTCAAATCCAATCCACTCTATCATACCCAAACAACCAAGATCCTCCCCCTTCCCCTAATCCAAAATTCCCCACTCCCATAGTCGACAACCCACTAAATCGCGACATAAGCACGTCATAAGCGATACCACACGATAACGTACGTACACCTGTTCGGGACACCATAAATTCCCAGACCCCCTAACGAGAATCCCGTGCAAAACGCCGAGACAGAGAGACGACCACACAGTGGATCACGTGGTGCTGTTGGCCTGTAAATCGTAGATAACGCCTCGGTAATAATATCAAGGGGGGGGGGGGATGGAGGAAGCCAATCAAAACAGTCGGCTGACCAATCAATCAGCTGTAGTTCTAGCAACCAACTAAGCAAGCAACGAAACAACCGTGCACGGCGGAACCGAACTTACCTACCTACCTACCTACCTACCTACCGGGGAGAGATGCGCGAGCTTGTTCGCGCACCATATATGGTCATCCCGCGCGCGCTGCCTGAACTCGTACCCGCGCGCTTCCACGGGAGGATTCTCACAAATTTACGCAGGGACTCTATGTGTTTCCCCGGGTGCACTTTCTTTCCCCCCCTTGTAGCGTTGCCGCCGCCGCTGCTACCACCCGCCAGGGGGAACGTTTTTTCCGCTGGCGAACCGCAGCCGTTGGCTGGCTGAGCCTATATGCGTTATACATGTATTTCGACTCCCCTTGTTAGGAGGCGTACACATGTCGCGGGGTCCCCCGATCATCGCGTTCGCATCGGGAGAAAGCAAATCGCGGGAGATTAGGAACCGATCCGTGTACTCTCGTTTGACGGATATCTACGTGTGCCGCTGGAGTTCCGATCGTTAACGAGCCACCGTTGAACTTCGTGGGAGAGGACGTTGTTTCGCTTCTCGTCGAGACGTGAAATTCGGAGAATTCTCGGGTGGGGGGGGTACCAAACACGATTTTATCGAGATATTGAATGATTCAGATCGAAGTACTGTTAGGCTACCGGTCATCGACCAAAGAGTTCGAACGGGATTTGCGATTTTCTGACGGATGGTGTGTTGGTGTGGACACAATGGGACGATTGCTGGGGCAAAAGAGGATTTGGTAATGTGAAAATGATCCTTTTGATGTATTGGACAGTTCTGATCGACGAAGTTGTTACTGCTTAGATAATATTGGGGATATGATTAGAAAGCTTCTAGTTGATAAGTCCCAGAAAAGTATCTAGGATACAATGGTTCATTTGGTCTTGAAAAAGAGGGTCTAAAATCACGAATCTTTAATATATATCTTTTGGCTGCCTGTTCATCCCGAATAGTGATGAGGAAATTATATCCAATTGTACTACCGCCATGATCTTACAATACTGCCTCCCTTAGCTTGATTATCCTAACTGACATATTCAGAGATCCGAGAAAAATGAGTTTTTATAATTATGTTTGTGTCGTCCTTGTTTCTCATCATAGGCCATTTTAATATAGGAAACTATTTAAATCATATTTATTTTACCTTCTTTTACACGTATTTTGAACATAAATAAATTGAGGCGTAAACGTAACTCACAACTTAAAACTATCTAAGTTAGTTGATAATATAAATCAGTAGAATCATTAGAAAACCAGTTAGGACAAAAAAAAATTATTCTATTTTTAGAGCCCTAAAAAGCACGCAAGCATTCTAGCTTTAACTAATTTAACTATGGGGTTCCAAATATTCCGAAAAATCTTGAAAAACGCTCATTATTAGATTGCACATTTTAAGTAAGTAGGTCAGAATACTAGGATCCCACAGAAGTATTACCACGAACCTCACCTTTATAAGGTGTATACTTAGTTCTGACTCTCACAGTATATTAGATAACGTTTATTACTTCACAATACCATAAGCGTTGTCCGTCCAGCTTTAATATCCTAGACAAAATTATTTCAAACTGCGAGTAACCTCCTAATTACCTAATAATATTTACTGCATATTCGATAAATGTCCTAATACTTATCAGCGGAAGTGTATACATCTTCTGTCCCACACTTAAAAAATCACCACTCCACAGAAGCATTCCACGGTCCCACGAGGGTTATCGGATCAAGAAAACGGAACACTTCCGCGAATCGTCTCCGCGGCGCAAGCTCCTATCGCGACCAAGATGACGGTAACCGTTTGATAAAGGATCGTCCGAAAACGCGAGAGGGCTGAGCGGCCCTTCTCTGGGCAGCGGCAGGCGTTGTCGACAATCACTTCCGAGTCGCATTTGTACCCCCCATTACCACTGGTGCGTGTGTCTGCTGTGTATCCCTCTGTGTGTATAGAAGGCGCGACAAAAACCGACATTCCTGATTCTTAAGTTGGACTCTATATAAGTATCTGCCATCGCGAACATTGCCTGTATATGGCGACAACCAGGCTTTGACAAAGGTGACCGTATATGGTATTCTGCTTCCACCTTCCATGCCTTCTCTCTCCTTTTCTCTGTCTTTCTCTCTCCCTCCCCCCTCCCAATCTTTCTCTTTCC